AAATTGGAATAATTCGAAATTTATATGTTATTTATGAAGATTATGTTGCCTTTTTCTTTATTTTAACTTACTGGAAGATTGTTGCTTGAGTTACTATTTTTCTTCCCACTGTTGTCCTTCCATTCTATAGTGTGAGGCCCTTGAGGGCCGAGGCTGAATATATTGTGGTACTGCTCTGAGCCACAATGGAGTCTGGTGTGAAAGGAAAAATCACATTGCTGATGCTGTCTATATTTAAAATAGTGATGTTTGGTTCATCATAGATTTTTTTTGTGTGGTGGGGGGAGGATAGGGAGGAAGCACTAGCTTTAACTTTTAAAACATTCCACTAAAATTTTCTTTTTTAAGCCTTGATTACTGAGATTTTTGACATCCTCTTCAACTTTGCATTTTTTGTCTTACTCTGTCTTGGTCCTGGGTCCCAATTCATTGTTGAGAGCTTTATACAGAGCAGATTCTCAAAACATGTTCTGTTACATACGTTATTCCATTCTACTTCAAAGCTAAGGTCAGGTTTTTATTGTCTTCCAGGTGTCTCATTATAGATCTGAATCAATGGCTTAAAAATTTATTTTTATGCTGGTAGGGGAGAATAGAATCAGAAAAGAAAATTTCAAAAGAAGAAAGTGTTACTAGGTTGAGAAGCATCTTTTTTCATCTTACTCTACTGAGTTTAGAACATAGAGCTGCTGAAAATTGGAATTCAGTGAAATAGAAAAGTTTAAAAAAGATTAAATGAATAACTCCTATGTGTCAGTTTACTTTGTTGCTTATTCAGAATGTTAACTGTACCCAATATACTACACCTGCCAGTGTTCTAATTTAACCAGTTCCATTTTAATGGAGTTTGAGAACAGTTTCTTAAAAAAAATTTAGTAAACTATCTGCAATATTATTATGAATCTCAGCTTAATAAAGACATCTGTATGGATTAAGAAATTGTATTTATACACAATGGAATTTTATTCAGCGACAAAGAATGAAATTTTGTCATTCACAAGTAAATGGATGGAACTGGAGAACATTATCTTAAGCAAAGTTAGTTAGGCTCGGAAGGCCAAAAAATTGCATGTTCTCCCTCATATGAGGACTATAGACCTAAAACAAATGCGGTCATATTATTGGACATGGGTCACACACTAAGGGGAAAATGCACACGGGAGGAATAGGGAAAGGAAAGGAAACCTAAAACTTGAATGTGGTTGAAGTACTCACCGTAGAGGAGTGAATAAAGTAATCTTAAACTGGCAGAGGCCACTGTGGGAAGGGGACTAGGATGTAGTGAAGAGTTCCGGTGGATATGAACCAGTATGGGTTGTAATACACATATGCATGGAAACAACACAAAGAATCTACATAGCGATCTTTATCTCAAACTAGCAAAAACACTGTGTTTTTCTTATTATCTTTTATGTTTTCTGTTCAACAAAATTAGAGAACAAGAGGGCAAAACTAGTTCTGTCCAGAAATGGGGGTGTAGCGGGGGTGGAGGTGGCCCAAACAATGTATACACATGTGAGTAAATGTAAAAATAATAAAATAAAAAAATAAAAACGCATCTATTTCCATTCTGCTAATGAGGTATGACTATTGCTGTGGTAGTTTATTGGCTTATAGCGTTATCATAAGGAACTAAGCATTTACTTGTTGGAAGGTTATATAATAAGCAGAATTTGCTTTTTTGAAACTTTTAAAATTCCTTTTTGAAAATATTCATATTTATAAATCAATTAAAATAAATAATTCAGATTGGTGGTCTTCTAGATTTATGGCTCAAATAAATAGTTTTGGAATTGCTAATGCAGTTTTAGTAGTGAGAGTAAGATAAATAGGCTTTTTCTCCCAGTAAAAGTCCCTTAATTTTGTATTATTAAGTAACAGTGGTAGGTGATATGACCAGAGGCAAGAGAATATAAATTGTTTTGAGGATTTCTTTCTTTTCCAAATATTTTATGATTTATCTTTTTATTTATATTTAAATATATATCTGAAAAATAGCAAACATTGCAATTTGACCAGGGATATTAAAAATGAACATACTCACTTTTTCCAGAAAAGAAACATTGTGTTGCAGTGCTGTATTACATTGGAGAAGCTGACTTTGTAGCAAATTTTGTATTTTATTTTTTATTTTGTGGCGGCACTTGAGCTTGAACTCAGGGCCTCATGCTTGCTGACACAGGTGCTCTTACCACTTAAGCTACTCTGCCAGCCCCAAAATTAGTATTTTGTATAGAAAATTGAACACAGCATATAAAGCATACAAGTTTTGAATACATGTAGTAGTCCATATCATTAAATTACATTTTTATATAAAAAGTTACTTTTTAAAAGGATATCAATATTTTTAGTACTACAGTCAAGTTGCTTAATGATAGGACATGTTCTGGGAAATGTGTCCTTAGGTGACTTCATCATCATGTGAGCATCAAAACAGAGAAGATATTGTTGTCAGTGAGCTAGCTGGCTTGGGTTCTTTTGCGCTATTCATGAAAATCATGAGTGGGAAAGAGGTAAGCTCTTCTAGTCTTGGCATTCCTGGGCCCTTGAGTGCTGAAGGCTTATGGACTTGCTGACAGGCTCAGAGGCTTATCGCTCCAAACCCTGAGAACTGTAGAGACTTACAGATCCAGGTTTCAAAAGTCAGAGTCTTTTAGCTGTAGGTGTTCAAGTTAGAGGTTTCTGCTCTGAGTCCCATTGTCAGCAGCCCAGCACCTGGCACTTGTGAATTCCTCAGCTCTGACCAGCAGCTAGCACCAGGTAGTGTTGCAGCCTTGGGCGGACCCTCTGCCTTCAAAGCTTGACCACTACCAGGACTTCCTGTGACTGCAGCCCTCAGTCTGTAGCCCACCACCTTCCACTTTCTGCTTTCTTGGCTCTCCACCTTATTTTGCTTTCTTTATACTTCAATGATCCTTGTCTTGCCTTCTTATACTTCCATCATCCTTTGTCATTGTCCTGCTGAGCCTCACTGCTTCTACCCGTTTATGTTCCTAGCCACTTTCAAATCTTATTTACTACCTCTCACTGTTACTGCTATCACTGCTGGTGCAAGTTGTTTCTGCCACTTTTGCTGTTGCCCTGCTGTGGCTCTGCTGACTCTTCTTTTTTCCCCCCAGTACTCATATTTGAACTCAGGCCCTTGCACTTGCTAGGAAGGTGATCTATCACTTGAGTTATGCCTCCAGCTGTTTTTGCTTTAGGTATTTCTGAATAGGGCCCTAGATCCAAGTGGCCTCCCCTCCATAGTTGGATGACAAGCATGCACCACCACTCCCAGTTTCATTGGTTGAGATGGGAGTCTCATTAATACTTGCTCAGTCTGCTCTACTTTTGATAAAAATCATGAGTAGACAAAGAAAAGACCTTTTGGGAGAAGCCTCTTACTGGGCCTTATGTTGCAATACCAGGAGCTGCACAGGAGGGTATCTGCCTGCTGTAAACAGCCCGGTTACATAGCCAAGAGGGGGTGTGTGGCATGCAAATACAAGATGGTACAGCACAGCTTCCAGCTCTGCCATTTACAAGGCCTGCATAGGGACTAGTCCTAGGCCTCGCAAGTCCCACATCGTTCCAGTCACTAGCTGCTTGCTGAATTACTGAGGAAATACCCCTCTTCAGAATAGCTGCAGGGTCATCTAAAGTTCACCTAAGCTTGTCTTGCCTAGAGTGCTACCTTCCAAGGCCAGTGCAGGTTTTCTGGAGCCTTCCTGATTGAAGCAAGGTCTTCGGGTGCAGGAGTCCTGGCTTCATTTGCGGTGGTCATTGCAGCTGAAGTTGTTCTCAGAGTGATCATAAAGTGTCTCAAAAACAGCTGCTGTAAGGGTATCCTGGCTGGTTGGCATCGAAGGGGCTTAAGGCAGCCAGGCATAAGGAAAGGGTCTACTGCTATTCAAAGGCCTGATGGCTCACTTCCAGCATTTCATAAAAATCCCCCAAACAAAAAAGCATATACAATGCTTACACACATGCGCTCTCTCTCTCTCAATGTAGTACTTACACAAAAGAGTTAAAGCTCAAGGAAAAACTAGCATTCTTTTTTTTTTTTTTTTTTTCCCGGTGGTACTGGTATTTGAACTCAGGGCCTCATGTTTGCTAGGCAGGCACCCTACCACTTGAGGCACTCTGTCAGTCCAAAACTAACATTCTTAACAGCACTTAACAGTGCTTAATCTCGGCTCCAGTGCTTTAGAGAGAGTTGAATCCCCCCGTGTGTCTCAAAATAGCCTACTATACACCTAGGCTACACAGCATAGCCTTTGTTTCTACTACAAATCTGTGTAGCATCTAACTGAACTAGTTCCAATAGACATTTGTAACACAGTGGTTAAGTGTTTGTACATCTAAACACAGAAAAGATACAGTAAAAATATTAGGTGGTAGGAGTTTTGGAACTCCAGTAGAATCTTATGAGACTACAATTATATATGTGGCCTATTGTCTGAAATGTTATGTGGCACATGACTGTATTTAAGTAGATTTATATTTTGTTAGAGCTGTCCATTATTCATCTAGTGGTAGATGCTTAAACCCTCAGAATGAAAAGAGTTTAAAAAGATGTTAATATCTGAGACTAATAGTAGAGGAATTTCCCTCTATGTTAACTCTTCTCTGAGAACATAGAAGGTCTTTCCCTTTGTTAGGATGTTAGAGTTTATGTGAACAGTAGGTTAGAGTGTTGAAGCTGAAGGTTATGCTAGAATAATGGGAAAATTGGTATGGAGAATGAGAGTTGATTTCTTGAAGAGGTAACAGTTTTGTGGCACTTAAAATGAATTTCAGTTGCTAATTTGTTACTAATACCTGGTCTTAGATTTTAATTTTGAGAATGTGTAGAAGGATCATGCTTTTTCTCTAGAATACAGACTTCAGAATAAAGCAAAACTTAATCATTTCAATAATGAAAAATTTCCAAATAGCACAAAAGTAAAAATATTGAAATATTTTTGTACTTTTTTTTTTTCATTTCTTGCTTGTGTGTGATTTTTCTCTTTAAACAGGAACTCAAACCCCAAAGCCATTATAACCATGGATATGGTGAACCTCTTGGGCGGAAAACTCATATCGATGATTACAGCACGTGGGACATAGTCAAGGCTACACAGTAAGGCTTTTGTTGTATGACGTAGATTTTAAGTGAAATATGGCCTTATTACCTTGGGGAAAATGTCAGTATCTTAATTTATTCTCTGTGAGTTTATTGAATGTGTCTGTTTACTTTTGGTACTTGCTAATCTTCTAGGAGTTTATTATTATAAGAGAATTAAGATTGATTATGAACAGGTAGAAAGCATTCTCATTATTAAAGGCACTTTAAATTGAAAGCACTAGTGCACATCCCATATTCTTCTCCCCCTCTATTGAGTACACTAATTAGAAATCAGGTAATGTCATTTATTTATTTATTTAATCTATACTGAGGGAGATATGGAAATGTCTAAAGAATGATCTTCAGAGTAACAGATTATATCAGTCTGTGAGACTGGACGAGGAAATAATAAATCTGAGAATACTGTAATGTGAAATACAGCAGGTATTTTCTTCTACAAAAGGGAGAAACTCTGTATTTAGTTTTTTAGCATTTTATATTGTCTGACTTCATTGCATCAAGCATGGCTAATGTTCACAGTGTAGTTGACTTACGTGTATCTTTTTCCTGTTCTTTCTAATCATTTGCATATCTATTTAAGAAAGCATTCGATGATAATCTGGGGTTAGTTAGTAATCTATGTAAAAAGAGGTTTTTTTAAGTTAAGTTTTGTGAAACTATGAACTAACTTTTTCCTTTTATAGAAGACCTGTTAGGCTTTTTGGCCTGTTAGTACTCATTATGTAGAGTGCAGGAACACTTGACTCAGAGCAAAGTGAATTTCACATTGATGTAGCCTTTATTAAAACTTGCCTAGGAAGAGCTTCAGATGTCGTTGAGTTCCTTGGAATTTATAAGAAATTTTGTTGTTTAGAGCATTTTTCTGGGTTGAGTCTGACTTTTAGTACATTCTCAAAGGAGCCTATGATTGATGACTGATTGAGTTCATCTGAATATTTGCTTATGAAGTGATGTCGTCCTTTGTATGGGTTTGTAGTATAACATAGAGAAACTTCATGATATCAATAAATATTATGATTCTGTTTTCTTTTATAAGTTTGTTTAGGTTTGAATAGAATATATGTTTTCTATTAGAATAACACATTCAGTCTTCCCCCCAGCACTTAAAGCAACAGAAAAGCAAGACAATACTCTTAAATGTGTGCTGCTACAACCTAATTAATTTTGTTTGTAATCTTCCCTACTTGATATTTTCTTAGAAGTTGCTAATTAGCTACAGTAGGAATAAGAGGTATGATACCAAGTTTTGATATGGAGGTTCAATTTGCTTCTGAAAATGCCTAAGTCTGAACTTAATGCTGTCTCCTGTTTACATTGGCCTATGTATACTAAGAAATCACTCATTTTGTGAACTAGATGAGGTTTTTGGACTAGGATTGCCATTTTTTTGGTGGGGTTTGAATTCAGGGCTTTGGGTCCTCTACCACTTAAGTCACACCTCTTGTCCATTTTGGTCTGGTTATTTTGGAGATAAGGTCTCCCAAACTATTTGCTCAGGCTGGTCTGAAACTGTGATCCTCTCTGGATCTCAGTCTCCCAAGTAGTATTAGTTAAGACATTGTTCTTATACTTTTCTATTAGTTCTTTAGATATGGTTTCCTCTAGCTGTTTAATGTTTTTCTTCCCTCCTGGGTTGCTGAATGCCTTTGGTTAGTTTCCTAAGTGCTGAAAAAATTGATTTTTGTTGTTGTTGTTGTTGCTGTTGTTTTTTGAGGTAAAGTCTCACTGTGTATCCCAGATATTTCTGCCTCACCCTCCTGAGTACTGGCATTAGAGGCTTGTGCCACCATGCCCAGCTAGTGCAAGCTTTTGAGAGTTTTAGTCCAGCAATGTCTCCTTTCATTCTTGAGTGCTATGTAGTCAAAGGTAAAAGCCACTTGTGCCAAATGTGCCAATTTAGCAAACAAGTTACAGTGACAGTAGTATAGTTCAATATGTTTCATCATTATTTTAGATCTTGGTTTAATATTTTGCTAAAGTGATGTGGATATCTGATTCTAAGTTAATTTAGATACTTCGTCTCCATGATTTTCATGTTTAGAAAAAGACACTTCACAATGATGCATAATTCACAAATGGAAGAATTATAATGTAGGTTACATTTGGTAAATTACTAATTAACTAAAAAATTTGCTAAACTACCTAGTAAATATCCATTTTCTGATGACAACACTTTAAAAAGCCATTAGACTTTGGTATTTTTAAAATTAAAACAAATGCATTCAAGTGTTAGAAAATTGTTTCAGATTTTGTTTGCTATTTCCTTGTGAGATTTTCATGAGTGACAATTTTAAATATTTCAGAAGCAATATTGAATAATGACAGAAATGCTTCCAGAAATACAAATTTTGAAACTATTTTCTTTATAGTAGTAGTTTTCCTTAAGTAAAAGTAAAAGTAGCCAGGCATTGTAGTATGTGCCTGTAATCCCAGCCACTTGGAGGTAGAGATTGTGAAAGACCAGTCCAGGCAGAAAGTCAGTGACACCCAATCTCAACAAATAAGCTGTGCATGGTGGCACATATCTGTAATCCCAGTTATGCAAGAGGTATAGGTAGGAGGATCAGGGTCTGAAGATAGCCTTGGATAAATATGCTAGACCTTATCTGAAAAATAACTAAAGCAAAATAGGGCTGGCTTAAGTGGTAACGTGTCTGCCTAGCAAGTCTGAGGTCCTGAATTCAAACTTGAGTACCACCAAAAAAACCAACCAACCAAACAAACAAAAAACCCTAAAAAGTAAAAGTAAGTATCTCACTTGTGGCTAAACTGTCCTCTTTACCTTGAAAGGGAACAAATTAAATCATTATCTTTCTTGTTAACACTATTACTCTTGGACCAACCTAAATCATTATCTTTCTTAAACATATATTAGCCGCTACTTGGGAGGCTGAGATTGGGAGGATCACAGTTTGGGGATAGCTTGGGCAAATAGTTCATGAGATCCCACCTTCAAAATAACTACAGCCATTATGAAAAACAGGTTATACTAAGGGAAAGTCACTAATGGAAAGGGAAGGTAAAAAAGGAAGTTAAGAAGGTGAATATGGTTGATGTATTTTCTATACAAGAATGAATGTAGAATTTTTAAGCCTGTTGAAATCCTCATAAGAAGGGGAGTCAGGTAGAAAGAAAAAAAAATGGAAGGAATGAACCAATTTGGGTTATATTACATAAACTCCTGTACAGCTATCTTAAACAAAATTGCCTTTTCTCAAAAATGGAGAACAGGAAGGTTAAACAGGTCTTGTCTGGGGGTTGGCACCAGTGTGTGTGGCGGGGAAGATATAAAGAAAGGTAGGAGAGTGAATGTAGTGGAAATGCTATGTACTCATGTATGAAAATGGAAAAATTGAGACCTGTTGAAACTATCCCAGGAATGGGAGGAAGGGAGATAAAGGAGAATGATGGAGAGGGTGAATTCAACTATGCTATATTGTAAGAACTTTCTAAGTATCACAATGTACCCCCAGTATAACAATAGTATGATAATACAAATAACATGTTTATAAAAATCAAAGCAAAGCACAACAGTTAGAGTGCCTACTTTGCATGTGCGGAGCCCTGGGTTTAAACTCCAATCCCACCAAAAAAAAAAAAGAGAGAAAATGTTATTAGTAACACATTGCTTATTCATTTGCTAGCACTATCCTTCCCTCAAAAAAAAAAGTCAGCAAATTTGAAATGCTTGTCTTTTTTGTTAAAGGAAAATTATATAATCTTTTCTTTCTTCAAACCTTTATTTTTATTATGATAGAATGTATGTAAGATAAATTTACCATATTAACCATTTTAAGTGTACAGTCCAGTGGTATTAAATACATTCTTAATGTTGTATAACCATCACTACCTACTTTTCTCTATAACTCTTTCCATCTTGTAAAATTGAAACTATTTACTAATTAAACAGTAACTCCCCATTTCTCCCTCCCTCATTCCCTAGCAACTACCATTCTACTCTCCTCCCTATTTCAGCCTCCCAAGTAGCTAGGAGCTCCTGGCTGCTTTTTTTTTTTCTTGATTTTCATCTCATCACTTATGTATTACTCTCTACTTTTATGTATTTAATACTTTTAGCTTAATTGTATGTATTTTTATGATCTGACTCAAGTGTTTCGTGGACTAAGTGATGATACAAAGAAAAATAAGCAGCTTACTGGTTTTTTTGGGGCTTTCTTTTTTGCTTCTACTTCATGAGATTTTATATTCTTATTAATGAAATATTTTAGAACTGTAAAATAGATTAGTAAAAGCTGCTGAAATACTGATATTTTCAAAGTAATACTTTGTGTTGAAATGCATTTTAATTTCCAAGTATGAAAATGGAGCATTATTTTCTTCTGAAAATGTTATTTTCATGTTTAACATGTTGTTAAATAGCAGTAATAATGCCCTGTTTTCTTGCTTTTCAAGATATGGAATTTATGAACGTTGTCGAGAATTGGTGGAAGCAGGATATGATGTCCGACAACCAGACAAAGAAAATGTTACACTCCTCCATTGGGCTGCCATCAATAACAGAATAGATTTAGTCAAGTATGTGCTTTCTGTGCTTTTAATTAGCTAGTACTTATTATAAAATTATTGGAAGTAGTTATCATAAAAACTAATTCTAAAATTCATGGCTTTTGAAATGTATTCTGTGTACTTTTCTTCTTTTAAAAATTGCTTTTTAGCATATATTGAAGACTTGTGTAGACCAGTTACTGTACTTAGTGCTTTTCATATGTATATTTCCTTTAATCTTAATTCTTGAAATAATGTTATATGAACTATAGCAATTACTGCCATCTTACTGATGAGGAAACTAAAGTACAGAGTTTAAATATTCTACTCACTGACATACAAGTAAAAGATTGGAAGAAGGATTTTGAATTTAGGTGGTCTCACTTGACACATTCCAAATATAGATTCTGTGGGAAAAAGCAGCAGGAAAATCAGAAGTTGAAAAAGTACCAACAGGTAATAATGTTACCTGTTCACTCAGCAGCATAAGTGATAGTGCTTCACATGCTAAATATAAAATGATTTTTGTCACTTACATTAATCTGATTATTTAGTATTAATAAGGAATAGATAAGAGTTGGAATGATATGAAGTCTTTCTTAGTAATCTTTTTTAGTGTTCTCATACTTTGTACAAAATTTTTACATAAAGATGTGAATCTAAAATGAAAGGTTTGCAGATGTGCAGTTCTGTGCCACATGGAGAGTTGAGAGGTAATAGGCTACTAATGGCCGACAAGAGAATTTGCCCTTGAAGTCCCAGGCAAGGATTAAATAAGTAATAACTAATAACGCTGTGAGAGTTGGCTTTCTTCCAAAGAGTGTATTTCCATTTTGTTTGTTCTTTTTTTCTTTCTTACATCTTTAACTTTCCCTCTGCCTTCAGTATGGATTTCCTCATTTCTAATTCTTATTTCATCTTTGGGAAGGAAATTTTCATAAGGAGTAGAAATGTAGGGGGGTAGTTTTTGTATGTTCTTGTTTTTGTCCACGGAAAGATCATTTCACTGTTTTCTGGCTTTTGTCACTGTGAAGACATCAAATTAACCATCAAACTTTTGAAGGTTTTGTTTTGTTTTTCTAGCTGCCTTTAAGATTTTCTCTGTTTCTGATTTTCTGCTGTTTTACAATGATAAATCTAAGATGTGGATTTTCTTTTGTTTACCTTGAGTGAGATTGCAAGGAATTTTTGATTCTGTAGATTGTTGTTTTCCTCAGTTCTGCAAAAATCTTATACATTGTTTCTTCAACTGTTGTTTCTGCCCCAGTGTCTTTTTGCTCCCCTGCTGAAATTCCAGGTGAACTAATTAGGCCTTTTGTCATATAGTCTGTCTCTAACCTGCTCTTTTTGTATGTTCTATCCTTTCATCTCTGTTTCATTTGGGAAACTTCTTCCAACCTGTCTTCTAGTTAATTCACTGTGTGTGTATAATCTGTTGTTAGATCCATTCATTATGTTCCTAACTTTTAAGTTTTGGAACTTTTATTGTTGTTTAAAACTGTATTACTTAAATCATAGTTGGCAAAGTTATCAATCTTGTATACTTGAACATATACAATAATCCATGTCTAAAAGTGTAGCTTTTGGAATCTCTGTGGGTCTGTTCTGTTGATCTTTCATGGTGTCTGATTATCCTTGGATATATATAAAACATTGTGTTTCAAAATTATTTGCTGAGCAATTTGAGGCCCATGCTGCAGAGATTTCTATTTGATTCTACCAGGCCAAACTTAATTTAATTTTGAGGTGTTAGATTTTCCAGAGCTCCCAGCTGGCTGAGGACCATGCTGAAGCCAGGTTTACTTCTGATTTTCCCTTTGTAGTATAGTTTTTTGGGCCTCAACCCTTAGTTTGCTTTTTATTTGCTTAACTTTCCTTCTGGCCGACTCTTCTGCATTGGGCAAATAGTCTCCCAGGCAAAATTCTGAGGGTTTTTCTAACTTATATGTTAACCCTTTCTTAAACCTTGGTCAGAAAAATGCTCTTAATTTTGTTAGGCTTTGCATTCTGGGAAATGGTTCTTGCTTTTTGGGAAATGAGTTGTGTTAATTTTGTTAATGGGTAGGTTAGGATTACTTACCCTTCCACAGTCTGTATATATTTTTTTAAATTAATATTGTTGGGTGCAGGTGACTGATGCCTATATTCCTAGCTACTTGAAAAGATGAGAAAGGGAAGATCGTGGTTCAAGGTCAACCTGGGCAAATAGTTTGCAAGATTTCATTTCCAAAATAACCAGAGCAAAATGGACGGACTGGAAGCATGACTCAAACGGTAGAGCACTTGCTAGAGCACTTGCTTTTGCAAGTGAAAAGCCCTGAGTTCAAATTCTAGCTGCACCAAAAAAAAAAAAAGAGAGAGAGAGAAATGAAACTGTTTAAATCAAAATAGTACATAAACAATTTGAAAAATCAAGTAGTGTTTAGGGGCTTGGAATGAAAAACATCAACCCTCTTTACTCTTTGGTCCCACAATCAATAAGTAACTTATTTTCAGTACTTATGTACTCTTTTGTTTTACATGTTTATGCTACATTTTTTAGGTTTTTTTTTTTTAATAAAAATGACAGCAAATACTTTTCTGCATTTCTGCTTAATTTTATACCTTCAAGATTTCTCATATCAGTACAGATAGAGCAGCACCATTTAACAAAACCTGTATAATCAGTTATATGAAAGTATTTATTTACTGGTTTCCTTATTGGTGAGCAATTAGATGGATTCTCTTTTTTTTTTTCTGTGAAGCAATGCTATAATTAATATCTTGTCATATATTTTGTATGTATTCATTTATATCTAGAATTCTTTGAAGTAGGGAAGTTAGAGGTTTTAGTTTTAATAAATACTGGTAACTTACACTAGTGTTCCTTGATTCATTAATTTTTAACATTGTATTTTTGGTTTTTTTTTTTTTTTTTGGGTGGAACTTGGGTTTCAACTCAGGGCTTCATGCTTGCAAAGCAGGTGCTCTACCACTTGAGACACATCTCCAGACCATCTTGCTCTGGTCATCTTGGAGATGAGGTCCTTGCGAACTATTTGTCTGGGCTGGTCTTGAACTGCAGTTCTCCCAGTCTCAGCCTCCCAAGTAGCTAGGATTACAGCCATGAGCCACTGGCCCCAACCCTGTATTTTGTCTTTCTATCCAGATGTTTTGAACTATGTTATCATTAAATACTTTTTCTTTCATCTTCTATTAGAGTTTGAGTTAAATCACTATATAATATTTAAATCGTTAGGAGTATGTAAATATGTACTGTTAGACCCTCCAAAATTCTGTGTTTACTGTTTTTTCCTCTAGAATTTTTAATTTTGTCTTAAGTATCAGTTGCTTCATTTGCTTTTGTTAGTTTCTTATGTTGTCGTTGTTGTCTTGAGCAGAGTCTTCCTGTGTAGCACAGGCTGGCCTGGAACTCACTGTGTAGCCCATACTGGCCTCCATCTCGCCATCCTCCTGTCTCAGCCTCATGAGTGCTAGGATTACAGATGTATACTGATCATTTCATTTTCTACATGGTCGGTATGTTTTTGGAACTGTAACAGCTTTCACAATGCAAACAGTATCAGATAATTTATCAGTTCTTTTTTGGGTGGAATTGGAAGGATAAAATCATTCCTGGATTTCTGTGCCTTTCTGTGTCAGTTCAGACTGTAGCCAAGACTATAGAACCATTTGTGGTGTATACAACCGTTGGCTTGAGACTTTTCTTTGCTGTCATCCTGGTAAGTCCCTTTGCTCCAATGTTGGTCTGTGTTTTCTGGGCTGCAGGGTTTTTTTCCTTATTGGTTTGCTGCCTGTTTTAGTAGAATACATTTGCTGAATACATGCTAGAGTATGTATTCATAGCATACATAGCTTTCTGAGACAGTGCTTTGGAGGTAAATGTTTTGTTTATTTGTTATTTTGCTTGTTTTTGTCGTGCTGAACCCAGGGCCTCACTTAGGCTAAACATGCTCACTGAGCTACACTGTCAGCCTCAGGTTTTGAAGTTAGTATGTCTTCTGCCTTTATACTTTATTAGCTGTTTGGCTGAGCATAGACTTCTGTATTAAAAACAGTTACCTTATAATTTTGGAGCATTACTTTGTTTTTCCTTTGCTTCAAGTGTTAAAAGTCAGGGTCTGTGATCCCATTCTGTTCAAACAGTTCACATTTATCTTTTTAAAAAAAAGTATGAGAGTCTGAAGTGAGAAATATAGACATAAAATCTTGGTTCTATCTGCCTTATAAATTGTTCCAAGCCACTTACATGTTAGTGACGTTATAGAATAAAGCCAGTAAATTATAGAGGGGGTTCATAACCACAGCATCACATCTTCAGATGGGTAAACTTAATTCTTACAGTACATGGTCTAGCAAGTTACTTTCCTAAAATAGTAGGGAGAAGTATCTCGCCTAACATTTATGTTGTATCAGGGTGAGTTTAAAGGAACTTACTGTAAGCAAAGTAGTTGATTTACTTTCATAATGATAAAATATAAAGTACGTAACATTTGGAGAGGAGAAGTCCTTCCTTTTCCTATTAAATTTATATCCCTAGTGCTTTCTTTTACCCCAGTGTAATAAAATAACTCAGGCCCTGCCTTCAACAGCCTCCTGTTACCCTAAGATTCTTTATTAACTGTAACTAATAATACTGTAGTCTCTGATTTCAGTTTGATCCCAAGTCAAGACTGTTAAAAAATATGGTATTCAATATTTTCTGAGCACACTATATATATGACTTATTTTTCTTTCCTGGGAATATTGGAGTTATTTATTCCTAGTTCTGTGAAAGTCACATTACTCTGTACTCTTCTACTTTCTTCTTTGCCACTTTTAACCTGGAATCTTGCCTTTTTGGTTCCGGGAAGTTTCTTGTACTGTGCCCCTGATAGTGCCTTGCCTGCGTTTTCTGTTTTTTTTTTTTTTTCTCTCAGGAACTGTTTTTGACAGACATTGTAACAAAGAAGATTGAGTGGCTCATTGTCTTAGTTTTTCCTTAATTACCTTTTATTACCCAGTATAGCTACTGTACTTCTGGGTAGATTTTCTTAAAAGTATCTTCTGATGCTTTTATTAGATTTCTAACTTTATTGGTCACATTTTGAACTTTCAGTCATTCTTAATCTCTGTTCATTTTTCTTTTGCTAATACTTAGTTTTTATGTCATGGATATATTTCCCTTAATTTTTTGTGGAAGTTTTTTTTCTCTATGTGTAGTCTTTATCTTGGGCTGATTCTGTTTGTTTTGGTCTCCTGTGTGTGACACTTCCTCAATTACCTTGTAATGTTGACCATTCACATTTAGAACAGTGATAGAACAAAGCTATTGGAAGCTGTGGCTCTTTAAGAGTTCTATAATAGGACCTCACCACCCCCCCCCAAAAAAAATTAGTTTCTAGGGTTGTTCATTTTCTCTTAAAGAAGAGTCTTTCGTCTCTTTGTAGGAGGCAATTGGAGTATCTCGCTGCCAGCTCACCTGAGTAGGGAAAGGAGACTAAGTTATTGTTTAGCATGTGCACTTCCATTGGATGGCTACACATCCAGTGCAGTTTCTCGAACTGTTTTCTGATTTAATCCCTGAGTCTCAGACTTTCTGGTAAAGGTACACTGAGCACGCCTTTCAGCAAATGCTGAATGGTTGAGTATTAAAATCAATATGAGACTGAAGCCAGAAATCACCACCAAACAATGAAATTTAGGAACTCAAGAATTCATGTGAACTTTAAGAGTTTGAATTATAAGTATAATTCCATTAAAAATTTAAATAGTCACATTTCAAGATTTAATATTATGGTACACAAAGAATGCCTTACTAGTACTGTCAGCTGCTTGATTACTTTCTTGTCACTAAAATGCCTAAGTAAATATTTTTCAATGCAAATATGTTAGAAAATGCAATTTTTAAGTGACATATTTGTGTTGATCTTCAACCGGTATTTTTGTTTATAGCCCAACTACTTATACTTGCTTTGGAGGTAACAGTTGTTTTTAATTCCTTAGCCTTTCCTAGGTTTTATAACATATTTTGGCTTGTTTCTCATCTTGTCTGTTCTGGAAACATTTGGATTTTAGCTGTTTGCTTTTCGTCTTTCAAATATTTGTTATCTCTTGTTCATTGATGATCCCTTCTCAAAACCTAAAGAACATTAGTACTTGCAAGAAAATTCTCTGGTAATAGTCTTGTAGTATTGAAAGGAGGCTTGAGTATAGAAGTAAGAGTTGTACGATCTAGATTATATTTATAATTTTGAACTAGGGTTTATAAATGTAAAAAAATAACATGTTACAAAAAATATAGTAGTTCTCTTTCGGGAGTTTATAATGAAAAGGTAATGGAGGCTGTTCTCTTTTATAATATATGGGGTTGTGGGGAAGGGGGAAATGCCCAATTATGTAGAGAAAACATTGTACTTTGGAACCCATTTGGGAAATCACTAATTGACATAAACCTCATAGTGATTTAAATTGTACCGGGTGTGAATAAAAGTGACTCACAGGAACAGATAAATTAATTCTGAAGATGGGAATGAAATTGCTTTAAGAAAATTCCAGTTAGCCAGGCATCAGTGGCTCATGCCTGTAATCCTAGCTACTCAGGAAGCAGAGAGCCAAGGCTTGTTGTTGGAAGACAGCCTGGGCAAATAGTTCACGAGACCCTGTCTTAAAAAAAACTTCACAATAATGGACTGGTGGAGTGGGTCAAGGTGTAGGCCCTGAGTTCAAACCCTAGCACCACCAAAAAGAAGAAAAAAGAAAATTCCAGTTGTAATTTTCTTTATAAGAAAATTTCTTATAAAGTAGTTGTTTGGCTGAGCTTTACCTTCTCTTTGACTTCTAGACTAACAGTTCTCAAACTATTTTGAACATTATATAAGGTCTACGAGGTACCTTAAGAACCAATTCAAAATTGCTTAAATGTTTGTGTTCTAATAGTCTGGTAAGCCAGGCATGGTTATGCATGCCTGTAGTTCTAGCATTTGCAGGGCTGAGCCAGGAGAATTGTTAAGTTGGAGGCCAGACTGAGCTATATAGTGAGACCCTGTCTCAAAAAAAGAAAGTCTGATATCCTGAAAATACTTGTTAAGTTACTTTGAACTGCTGTACACATGATAGACTGGAGTTGGTCCCTTCATTGTATAATGTTTTAAAAGCACCAATTTAACAAATATTTATATGAAGCAGGAAATTTCTTAATCATGTAAGGATGATTCCATTAAATATTTAGAACTATGTACCTTAAGACTGAATGCATTAATTACTTAGAACAGCTTGAGAGTCTCAATGAGATACAAATGCCAAAGTATTTAACCTCAAATACCTTAAAATCATTTATGTTTAAGATTCATTGTATTGATCAGTCTCAAAGAAGGCATTGTAATGAGCAGCTAGGTACCGTTCATTTCAGAGGATATCAAATTGTTAAGACATTAATATATTAGGCAACATGGCTTTAAAGACATAACAAAAGAACAAGGCGTGATACAGGACCTTTATGTAAGATTTATAGTTTATAAATTTCTCTTATGTATACTGCTTGATCTGACTTCTTATGAGGAAAGTAGAGCTTAAAAAGCTGCCCAAGGTAGAGCATGTCTTTACCTACTCTGTGATTATTCTAATTCCAAGATTTCTGTATGCCACTACTCAGATCTTTGTGATTTTATGACCACCTTCTTTTATATGATTATTTGGCATTTCTATTCCTTTTCATAACTTTAAAAAAACTATTTTCATTTTACTTCTAGAATAAAACAGTGTTGTGTATATACAAAATTCTATTAAATATGATTTTTAAACTATCAAAGTTTTTTGTCTACAAAGGCACAAATTTAGCTTGATCAAGATCTAAATGGAGAAATTTTATTTTTCAAATAATTTCTTAAAGTTGAGAATGAAAGCTATCTAAATTATTATAAATTTTGTCTTATAGGTACTATATTTCAAAAGGTGCTATTGTGGATCAACTTGGAGGAGACCTAAATTCAACTCCATTGCACTGGGCCACAAGGTTTAAATTTGCTCTGGCTTTTTTTTCCTTTTGGTTCCTTTATCATCATCTTTTTTTTTTTAATATGCTAAAATGAGTAGGATAACTTAACTGTGCCAATAGATAATATCATTATTATGCTAACATACTGCTATCCAGTGTTACCTGCATTTGGAACAAAGTTTAAGAGATTAGCCATTTTAATTGAGTTAAAGTTTGGATTTGTAACTGTATCACTTCTGCAGACTGTATACATATATTTGTAGTTAAAGAGCTAGCTCAGTTCTTGGGATGATTAGGACCATATTGGTATAGAAATATTAGAACATAGTAACTATTTATTGTATTAAAAGAAGTTGTAAGTACATCCCTAAGTTATCAAAGATGACTATTTCAGTTAAGACTTTTAAGAACCATAGTTAGTATAGAAATAATAGAACATAGTAACTATTTTTTGTATTAAAAGAAGTTGTAAGTACCTCCCTAAGTTATCAAAGATGACTATTTCAGTTAAGACTTTTAAGAACCATAAAATCCTAGTGTCCTGTCCTATATGTATTTTAAAATAATTTTGTAATTTATGTGTGTAATCTTTTCCACTATCATTTTGCTTAAAAAGACTTTCTAAGCTGAGTGTGGTGGCTCATGCCTATAATCTTAGCTACTCAGTAGGCAGAGATTGGGAGGATCATGGTTCTAGGCCACCCTGGGCAAAAAAGTTCAGGAGACTCCCATCTCAATTAATAAAAACTGGGTGTGGTGTCCTGCACCTATCATCCCAGCTTCTCAGAAAGCAAAAATAGGAGCACTGGGGTCCTGGCTGGCCGAGGCATAGCTGGGAGACCCTATTTGAAAAATAACTAAAGCAGAAAGGGCTGGGGAGCCATGGCTTGAGTGGTATAGTGCCTGCATAGTAGTAAGCACAGGACCCTGGGACCCTGAGTTCAAACCCCAATACTGAAGAAAAAAAAAAAAAACCCAAATACCCAACACTTTCCAGAAGATCTTGTTTAAAATAATTTTATATATCTAAGTGTTTATTCTTTTATGTTTTAGACAAGGCCATTTATCCATGGTTGTGCAACTAATGAAATACGGTGCAGATCCTTCATTAATTGATGGGGAAGGATGCAGCTGTATCCATCTGGCTGCTCAGTTTGGACATACCTCAATTGTTGCTTATCTCATAGCAAAAGGACAGGTAAAAAGAAACAATCACCATGGTGTGGGTTTTAATGAGATGTTCTTCATGGCTTAAATGCCTAATATTCTTGGTGTTACATATGTAACAACCTGGTAATATTTAAGTAGCACTTTCTAATGGATGAATCTGATGCTGAGTTTTTAATGCATTTAACATAAAAACAAATGTGATCATGAATCAGACAATGCTTCATTAAGTTGGATTTTTAATTTCTCAGCTTGGTGGAAATAAACCCCAGAAAGTAAGGGAGAAATTTTAGATACGTATTTTTCTCTTAATCACAGTTTTTTGAATATGTTATCTGAATTCATCTAAACCTTTTGAAGTTATTTATTATTTTCTATTTTGTTACCTCTTGAGAGGAATAATTTCTTAAAGGGGAGTCCTCATTGTCTTCTGTATAAAATAATACCCTTCTTGTCAGAAAATTCTACACAATTGAAGTGTCATCCCTGATTTTTCTTGAACATGCAGCAGTGACTAAAGCACATTAAATACTACGAGTTTACATTACTGTGTTGTTGAAATAAATGGATTTTGTTAGGAGAAATATCACCCAGTTTTTTTCTCAAGTTTTTTTTTTTTCTGGTTATATTTAAACATTAGTGTTATAAATGAGAATCTCATCACAAGAATAAGATAAATGAGTTTAATTCATTGTTATCAACACAGTTTTGTTATTTTAATTTAAAATTTTATGCTGATTTAGAACTGGAATAATATTTCTTTGAATGAATTCTTTAAAGTATTGTTGGCGGTATCAAGGAATAGAAATTGTGTGTTATGTATGCATTAAAGCTTAGGAAAGAGGCATAGATTAAGTTAATTGTTGGAAGAGGGAGTGTGTTTTCTATTATTGTGTTAACAAACTACCCCTAAAATCTAATGATTAATGGGTGTGGTGGTCCATGCCTGTAATCCCAGCTACTTGGGAGGCAGAGATAGTATTGTGGTTTGAGACCAGCCAGGGCAAAAGTTAGTGAGACCCTATCTCAAAAACAAATGGGGCATGGTGGTTTATTCTTGTAATCCCAGCTACTCTGTAGAAGGAGGTAGGAGATCAAGCTTTGAGGCCACCCTGGGCAAAGGTAAGAGCCAGACCTATCTGAAAAACAAAAAACTTGGTGTTGTGGCTCAAGTAGTAGAGTGCTTGTCTAGGAAGTGCGAGGCTCTGAGTTCAATCCCTAGTACCACAAAAAAGAAACAAATATATAATGATTAAGTACCATCTGTTGATTTTTTCTCAATTTTTGGTGGGTTGACTGGGCTTGGCTAGGTGGCTTTTTTCCTCCTATGATGGCTGAGGGCTGCAGTCATGTGGGGGCTTGACTGGCTCACTCACATATATTTGTGCCTGATAGAAATGGCTAGAAGATCTGTTTTTAGCTGGGATGCTGGAACAACTAGGCCTCACTGTTTCTCCATGCAGTGTTAGAACTTCCCTACAATACCACCCCTTGTGTTCTTTCCAGCAGGGATCTAGACCCTGCTTCAGTGCTTCAGAGATCTCAAAAGAACAAACACGTAAGCTGTTTGCCTAGTTAGTCGTACGTCAGAGCTGGCATAGCAACATTACTACTCCTTTTTGTGAGTACGGAGAGAAGTAGGTACAGCTCGTATTCTGTGTGGGGATGGGTCAGCTCCAGGGTGTGAATACTAGGAGGTGAGTGAGGCATATTGGAACCAAATTATCCTTATTCTCCTACAGTTTCTTGTAGCAGAGTGTTCAAAGAATTCACAGAATTTCTTTCAGTTTTTTTTTTTTTTTTTTTAACTAGGAAAGAAAAGTGCTATAAAATTTTGAGTCTACATGGTCTTTTTGTTAGCTTAATTCATTTTGGAGTTTGGATGATGATTTTGTTAGTCTTTCAAAATCCAGAGTAGTATGTGGGCTATACAAAATATCAAAGGGCAGAACCTCTACCTATCATACTGTTTTTTTGTACACAAAATACATCATCATGATGGTTAGTGCCTGATAATCTGTTTTTCCCTCTTGAGTTTTTCTACTTACAAAACAAAACAAAAACAAAAACTACCATTCAAACAAATAGAAGAGTATGACTTAGCAATTGAAATCCCACTTCTCCCTTTGCCTCCCCTACCCTGAAATCACTTTCTTTGACAGTTTAGTGTATATTTTTCCAGATTTTTTCCCCATGTAAACACCAATATTTTGTAAAAGACACTCTTCTGATGTGTGCTGTATTATACTTTTAATGGTGTCCAAAGTTCTTCTTTGTCCTACAGAGCACTTGGGTGGTGCTGCCACTAGATAATCTCTTGAGTGTCTCTTGTGTCATTCCCCCCTCATCACTGCTTCAACCACACCAGTCTTTTTTGATTCCTGGAGTAGTTCTGACTTGTTCTTGTTTCAGGGCCTTTTTATGCTTCCTGATCCTACTGGTATATCTCCCTCGGATATTCACACTGTTCTCTTTCTCTCTCTTCAGTCAGGCAGTTGCTCAAGTTCTTTTAGCTCCGATTAGTTCCCAGTTATAAGCAGTAATAAAATTCATTTATTTTAATTTCTTCTTTTTCACTGTCTTTTACTGACTTTAGTCAATATTATTTTTCTTAGTGTTATCTTTTTCTGATAAATGTAACTACATTTCTGTTACTTGCCTTTTCAGCTTTAGATAATACTCTTGGACTCATATCTATTCAGATAAGGCTTTCAGCATACTTTCTCTTCAGTCTTTTTTATTTTTTTATACTTTTCTTGTCGTGTCAATTTTACATTGTTAGGGTGTGTAACATTTCCATTCAGTTTTGTTGTTCTATTCTTTACAATTGTTTTATTTCATTGTCCTGTTAAATATAGTCAGTACTCATTAGCAATTCTTTTGGATAATTTTCAGATGAAAAGTGGGAATAAGCTAAATGAGGAGCCCTATGTACCATGGAATTTCCATGATTTTTTCATGTGGGCTTGTTAATTTTTCCTAATAGAGAATACACATACATCTGGGCTGAACTTGGAAAAGAAGTACAAAATTTTAAATCCCAATTTAAAGAAAAAAGGTTGAATTTCATTTTTTTCAGTATTCTAAAGATGGGGCAAAATTTTACATTTTAAATTTTATTTATTGATATTTTTAATACTATCACTTTTAAAAAAGGATGTGAAAAGATTTGCATCTAAGAAGAAACTTGGACACAAGAATTTACATGCTTACTGACTGGAGGTGTTGTTCAGTATAAGTAGATAGGGAAATTGCTTGGTATAAACAAGGTCCATCCTGGGTTGAATCCCCAGCACTGCAAAAGCAAAAAGTGTCTTAATTAGACATCAAATTTGGTTGAGCTTTTTTTCTTTTTCTTTTTTTTTTTTCCTGGAACTCAGGGCCTACACCTTGAGCCACTCCACCAGCCCTTTTTTTGTGTTGGGTTTTTTTGACATAGAGGCTCAAGAACTATTTGCCCTGCCTGGCTTTGAACCGCAATCCTCCTAATCTCTGCCTCCTGAGTAGCTAGGATTACAAGCTTGAGCCACTGGCACCCGGCTTGAACTTCCTTGATATTAAGGTAAAAGGAGTAAAATAAATATATCCTTTTCATATAAGAAACAAGGAAGTTTGTCATTTCTTCAGAAAATACTTTTTTAAGTCACATGATTATTTTTTGAAAATTCACTCTGTACTTATTATCTCTGTCCTCTTTCTACTAATTGGTAAGTTAGGTAACACAACTTTGATTAGAACTGCTTATTTAATATAACCTAGGAATGGGAGATGGGGAAGGGAAACAGAAGAAAAGTAGTATTTATTGAGTGTCTATTATGTTCCAGACTATGAACTGGGTACTCTACACAGGTTTTTCAATTTGTTTTGTTTTTAACAAATTGCATTTGTCTCAAATTTTTTGAAACACAGCCTCCCTATGTAACCAAGTCTGGCCTCGATCCTCCTGCCTCAGCCTCCTGAGTGCTAGGATTATAGGTATGCATCATCACACCCAGCATATTATTTTATGAATCATCATAGGGTAAAGTCAGTATTTATATTCATGTTTTTTATAAAGAAGCTGAGGCTTAGAAAATTAATTTTGCCCACAGTCTCAGCAATTAAATGGTGGAACTGGGAATTCAAAGACATGTCTGTCTTACTCCAAAGTCTATGCTTTTCCCAAGGCTGGAAGTATAGATAGATAAGCATATCTTTTCATTTAACAAATGATTTTTGATCATCTACTCTGCTGGGTATTGAGAATACAAAGATGGATTTGGTATGATTTTTATCTTCAAAGTATTTCTTCATTAATGTGTCAGGTGCCTTTGGCACAAAGGATGATCAGGCCAGATTGGGGTGAATTAGGAGGGGTAGTTGCAGGGTAGTGAAACTGATGGAATCCCCCATAGATCAGAATGCCTTCAAAGGACACTTAGAGAACTAAGAAGAGTTTTGATTTAGTAGGCGGTCATTTCTAATTTGCTAAAACTAAGCAAAAGAGAGAAAAAGGCAGCTCTAGGGAAAACGAAATGTAGAGTAGAAGAGGAAAAATACAGTTGACTGTATTATGTGGCAGAGATTTGTATTTATATGTGTTTATAATAATGAAAAGGTCAAGTGCTTATATAACCTTAATTACAATAAATAATTTGAGAAGAATAGGTAGTATTTGTGATGGGGCAGGGAGAAGAAAGAGAAATTCTCATTGTTTTACACTGAATAAAAGATAATGACTAAAGTTGAAAAATGAAGTAGCCATTCAGGCATCTTATTTAGCTCAAGATATGAAGGTAAATAAATACCAAAGTAATACCCTAAGAAAAGCTGAAAAAGTGGAACATGAAGCACAGGATTGCTTTATCATAGTGCTCTTTCCTTTTAGTCTTTTCAGAATTATTTAACTTTAAAAAATATATGCATGCAAAAAAAAAACCCTCAAAAAACATTTTCAAGTTTATTAAAACATTGCTTTTTTTTTTTCTTTGTTTGGAAATGACTAGGGATAGACAGTGTTTTGTTATTTTCTCCTGTTATACATTAGTATATACAAGCTTTTCAGAGACTTATGTCACTTAACCTATCCTTTGTGGCTGAAAGATCAGAATAGGTAAAGATTTTTAAATGCAAAGTATTGCATCTTGAAAGGGAAAACTGTAAAGGCATAATATGTAAATAGACTATGTAGTGGCAAAACTTGGTTTTAACTTCTGTGCTATGTAAATTAGATGTTTCCAAGTAATTTTGGAAATAATATTTTTAAAGTATTATTGTCTGACTTTACTCTGTCAGGATGTAGATATGATGGATCAGAATGGAATGACACCTTTAATGTGGGCAGCTTATAGAACACATAGGTATGTAACCATTATAAAATTTTCAGATCATTTCAGCATAGTACAATGTGAAACAAGTGATTAGAAAAAGCAGTAATTGTTAAAATTACTAATATTTACAAGTTTATTATGATGAATATTATATAACTTAGATTATCTGTTTGGATGTTTTGGTGTCTCTGTTTACCTATATCTCAGCGAGTATAGTGTCTTTAATCTGTTCCTCTTTAAATAATTTCTAGGGATAAAAGAAGTTAACTTCTTTTAAAAATATAATTTTTCATGGGATTTGCATATTGGCAAGTTTAATGAATCAGTTTGTAAGTTGTCTTAAGTAATTTTTAGAACAGTCCAGATTTAAATTAATATTTTCTATTTTTAATTGTAGGTATTGATGACATCAGTTTTTAGATTAAAAGTAGAAAATGCCAGGATCAGGTCTATCTGTTAGAAGTATTTTACTTTATGGGGTTACATGTACTTAATACTTCATATTAGAAAATTGTCCTATTGTTTGTAAAGTTGTTGAGTAGGTTAGAATAGACATATTCTAAGATGGAGTGCAGCCACAATCAGTTTAGAATCTGTAATAATTTCGATAATTGAAATTAGGGTTGTTGTTGTTGTTTGTTTGTTTGTTTTTTCCTTTTCAGTGTGGATCCAACTAGATTGCTTTTAACATTCAATGTTTCAGTTAACCTTGGTGACAAATATCACAAAAATACTGCTCTGCACTGGGCAGTACTAGCAGGGAATACCACAGTCATTAGTCTTCTTCTGGAAGCTGGAGCTAACGTTGATGCCCAGAATATCAAGGTAAAAATACGCTATGTTGATGATGCTGTAGGAAATGTGGCTACCGATACATGAATTCCTCAATAAAACAGGTCTTTTATAGACTATAAAAGTTGGAAGAAACTTCCTATTTAAACTAATCCTTTGCTTCCATGCAAACATCTTGGCTTATTTACTTTCATCTGAAGTATTGAAGTAATTTTTTAAATTTGATGGTCTTTTCATTAGTGAATTTGTACTGAGGTTTAGAAATTAAAGCATAAAGATGAAGTAAAAAAGTTTTCTGGTTTCTTGAGAAGATCATTTCAGAAAATGCAAGTTTGTAATTAAACCACATTGTCCCATAATAAATTGTAGTAATTCTTTTACTTGGTCATCTTATTATCATTTTGTTTTAAAGATCAAGACTTTTAAATTTGATGAATACCTTTATAATGTTTATAGGAAAACCTTTCCCCATTCCAAATGGTGAACTATTCCAGGATAAGTATACAAAATTATCTAAGAGACAAACGCAATTAACATTTGCTCTCTGAGTATTTAGAAATTTGTAGACATGCAAGAAGATTCTATTAGTAGTCTTGAAAGTTTGGTTAACCTTTCTCATTTGTAAAGCTTCAGAATCTACCATGTTTTTTAGCAACAGATGCTTTCTATGAAATGACTTTAAATATCATTGTCAGATATAATTGTGTCCATTGACAAATGTTCTTTAACTTTGGTTATAATTCATAATATTTTCAGAACCATGTTTCATAAATGTCTTAAAGAGTATGTACTAATTAAATGTGAAGGGAGTTCAAGCCACAAACTAACCTGAAATGGCCAATCAAAAAGTAGGTATCTTGCTGGATCAGGGCATCTTTTTATGTTCCAATGAGTAATTCTCAATTTGGTTACTTTAAGAACAGAAGGTTAAGGTACTAAAATAAAATAGCTTAGACTAGTATATAAGTCTAATTTATTTATATTGTCTAATCGATTTTTAGAAATGAGTTTAATTGTAACTACTACTTTTAGTTAAAAGTAAATATTGGAAACTAAGAAATTTATAAAATCATGTATTTTTTTTCTTCTTTAAACTTAGAAGTCTTCTTGTCCCTACCCACAGTGATAAGAATTGGTCTACTGTCTGTGTTAAACGCAGGGAAAGAGAAAAGTCAGCATACATAGTGACTGACACATGATCAGCTCTCTCAGTATTTACTCGCTGAACCAATGAAGAGTTGCATAGTTTTGAATTTTACCTAAGTTGGTTTTCAAGGCTCTGCCAGGATACTTTTCTGCCATTTCAGATATTATACAATAGTGTTTGCTTTTCCAAAAAATTTTAAATAGGATGTTCTGAACCACTTCAAAACACTGGAGTTAGTAAAGTAAGGTGATCCCGGGCCAAAAGCATAAGGAAGAAGTTTGACTAAACCTGACCAATATTCCCATAAGAAAAATTAATAAGATTTTTCATGTTTTAGTATCTACATTGCTTTCTAGTTTTTGTTTCTTTTTTTCTTTACTACCAGGCAGGCATTCCTAAAGTGACCATGTATCATGAATACATTTGAAGATACTTACTGTCCTGTTACTCAAAAAATAGAACTAATTTCAGTATGGCAAAAAGTAAGTTTCTATATATCTTCAGCCAGTACTGTATCAGTATACTGGAATTGGAATAATACCAAAGAATTATGATGGCAAGAAGACTGCACAGTTTTGTAATTAGAAACCACTAGTATTTTTAGAGCCTTTAAAAACAGCTTTTCCATCTGTATAAAACAGTAGATAGCTTTTCTTCAATCACAATCTTTAAGTATTTGAGATATGGTTTGTAAGTTTAACATAGTGAAAAGTTTTGATCCCATTAATAATCACGTAAAACTTTAATGTTAGTAAAAGAAATAATTCATAATGAATTTTAACAGAAGGGTCATGGTAACAGAAGAGATATTTGATTATTTAAGTGATTTTGTACTTTTTTTTTTTTTTAATGTCTTATAGGGTCAGGCATATTAGTTACTTGGAAGGCAACTGTGCTCATCACTTACCACAACACTCCACATTCGTTACTTGGTACCAAGATCTGAATACCTTGTGGTGTCTACTGTGTCCATAATTGAGTTCAGCACTGTACCTGTAGACCTTTTATTTAAATTACTATGTTCTTTCCTATACATGTTCATTTGGTTAATGTTTTAATTTTATCTTACACTTATATTCAAGGTTGGCTGTTAACAAAAATATTACTTTAAATGTAATTCTCTAATAGCTTCTAGAGTAATTTTGCTTCCAAAAAAAATAAAGTGTAAGGAAGTATTTTATTTCCTCTGGCAAAATTTATACTTTCAAGGAAAAAACTATCTTTTCATCTGTTTTTCTGAAGTAGATTTTTCTTTTAAAGTGGACTTTTTATGTACTTCAAAGAATGAAATAAGTATCAGATACCTTTTCTACTGGGATCTTACATTCCCAGTATGCTTATGTGTAGTCATCACCTCATGCAAACCATTTTTTCATTCATTCAACAAATGCTTGTTCAGTGGTGGATAGTCACAATGTTGAAGACAAACAAGGTCCCTATTCTCTCAGAACTTACCTTCTTTTGAGGAAATAAACAAGTAAATTAAAAAAAAAAAAGGACAAAATGTGATTGAGTGACAGGGCTGAGAAGACCACAGCAAGTGAAAATGAGAATGACTCTTGAGGAGATGAAATTTGTTTTGAGAATTATGATGAGAAAGAATCAGTTATGCAGAGATATGTGGGGAAAAAAACATCTTCCCATGTATAGGAACATGCAAGTACAAGGTCTTAAGTGGGATCAGTTTGCCAGGTTTGAGGTGCAGAAGAAAGGATGGCTTGGCTAGAGTATATAGAGAGCAAGAAGTGAAGCCTTTTCAGAGAGACAGGTACTAGATTGTGCTACTGCATAACAAGAAGCTTTAATTGAGTTCTCAAGTAATGGGATGCAGTTAGGGTTTACATAGACTGGCTATAGGATGTGGGTGTTTTTATGTTTGTTTGTTTGAAATAGTGTTAAAATAGTAGTTTGGTTAGTGAAGAGTGCATTGAAAAATTAAGAAAAAGGAAAGGTTGAGAATCAGTTAGCCTTTGGTAATAAATTAGGCATATGATGGTATTACCTTCGCCTATGATCTGAGGAGTAGAGATGAAGAGGAATGAGTAGCTTTGGAGATGATATTTTAGAGTAGAAATGAAAATGTAGATTATGGGGAGGAAAGAAAATATTATTGATGATACAGGTTTTGGTTTTGTGCCTTGTGATATATGATGAGGTTGTGATGATTGAAGGAGAAATGTTATTTGGGGTGAAGATGATAGGAATTTGTTCTGTTTTGGTAATATTTAATTTGAAGTGATGTCTTTTACCTATGTACTATATTAAGCTAATTAAGTAAATTTAGATTGCTACAAACTTGGAAGAGAAAAATTCATTTAGAAAAAAAAACCAACAGCTTCTTTGTCCAGAAATTTGACAAAGTTTATATTTATACCTGTCTTTCTTTCATTTTTTTTTTAATTTTAAGACTTGGGAAGGACAGTCTTATTAAAATTGACTACAACAGTTGTATGTGGCTTACAAATCTGGATTTGACTGTAAGAACTATAACAACATTCTTCAGGGCTGGGATTGTGGCTCAAGTGGTTGAAGCCCTTGAGTCCAAACCCCAGTATCACTTAAAAGAAAAAGTTACATTTTTAAAACAATGTGAAAAATTACACTTTATGTTATAATAATTAGATAATTACTAGTTGATCCTATTCTAAATAATTGTGTTCTTAATAAAAATTAAGCTTAAATTTCTTAGAACTCTGTATTTTATATAAACTAGAGATTTGCCCTTATAGTTATTTGAATAGGGAATTCACTTATTTTAGTATATAAAATAATTCTTTTCACCAAAATAAGGTCACCTGTTTGGAAGATAATTAATAGTAAATGACAGGTAACTTTAAAATGGCTGTTTTGATCCTTGGGAGGATACTGAATAGCTAAATACTTTAGATTAGAGGTGTCACTCTCGGGTCCACCAGTGGACTTTGAATGGTGTGGGTCCGTGGACCCTAGAAAAGAGTTACCTGTATCAGCATTTTTCTGGAGCTCTCCCACTGGCTTTCATCAGATATGACTCACAAGAATTTAAGACCCATGGCCATAGATAATAGTTGCATAGAATAAATTAAATTCTTTCTCAGTATCAATAATAGGAGGGAAAAGTGATTTGGTATACTAAGAATCAGTAAACAAAATATGGCCAGTGCCATAATAGTTTTTATGGTAGTATTTCATTTGTAAATTTCTAAAAGATAACATTTTATTCCCTAGCATATGTTTTTAGTTATTTAGGTGAATTTAGATGAATTCAGTTTGCAGGAAACAGTTAATCTCTGGATGCTGCCCAAGCATTTACAATTTTTTCTTTCTCAAATTATCAAAGGATGTAAATTTTAGCTTGTATATAATATAAAATTACTGATCTCTGTTAATTAATATATTGAAAGATCTCATATCCTTTCTTGAAAGGAGGTAAGAAATGTTTCAGAAATAGTTGTTCATTACCTCTTAAATACCTGACCTAGATGGTCTCCATGCAGTTTTTCTTAGTTTTGACAATGAAATTCAATCGCAGTTAGCCAGACTTTAAGTGATCTTCACCCTAGCCATAATGTTTATCTGTGCCAGTGACATGTTTATAAATACTCCATGTGGATTCTTGCTGATACTGCCGTTGTTAATATTATTTATTTTGGCTGGGACATGGAGTGATCCAAATATAGACTTAATTCAGAACCCTGGTTTTAGTATATTCTTTAAATTAACTGCTTGTGTATTTTACCAGCTGAATAAAAGAACTATACAAAAATAGTCAGATGACTAGAGGAGTAGTTGAAAGATATTTTAAAGCTCCCTCAATCTTTTTGTCTAGGCAATCCTTAGGTGTCACATGGCCCTCTAGTGGAAGGGATGCTCAGCTGGACCGAGGCAACTGCAGGATATTCTCTGGGAGTTGTTACCCAAGGGATTGCTATTATTCAGGTAATATTTATAGTTTGGATTAATTAGTTGGTTCTGATAACTTAGGTGATGGAATTCTGGAATAAGCAAGGAGATACCTAAAATAAATTTCCCTATTTGTGGAAGACTCACCTAGATTAGTTCATTCCTGATTAAATGCCATTGGTTTTAGTATTAAAAGATTGGTTAGGCTTTTTGTGGTTATTTTTGTTTAGTAATAGTTGTTGCTGTTGGTGGTAGTGGTTTGTTTTATTTTATTGTTTATTTTTGTTTTTTAGTTAAAAAAATAAACTGTGCTCCATACTTGATAAGTAATTATGCCTCATAAATAAAAAAAGACTCTGTATTCTTTTATTCTTTTTCATCCAGTATTTGGAAATAAAATTTGAAGTTTTTTAGAAAAGTAATTTGAGTATTAAAATTTTGACAATTTTAATTTCACTTTTCTAGTTAAAGAAGTAGATAAGTAAATAGCACAGAAATTTAGGAGTCTGGCTAATTTGCAAAAGGAGAAATAATGATTTTAAATTAGTAAAAGCAAAAATATATGTAGATCTAGGATTTGTAATATTCGCTTACTTCTTATTTTAATATATTTTAGTCCTGTTCACTTACACTCCCTTGTATTCTTTTCCTTGGGATTAAAAGGCCACACTAGCCACTAACTTAAACTTTTTTTTTTTCTTTCTTTTTTTTGATCAGTTCTCTTTGTGGAAATTTCGTGTGAGCAAATAAATTTTAAGACAAGTCAAGAGAGCTAGTAGAGTAGTTGAAGTTGACTTTTCTTTTTCTTCTGCATTCTCTTCTTAAGGGCTCTTACATTGCTAAAATAAAACTGAGTGATTTCTGGCAACTTGGTTACTATATGTTGCAGAATGTTTTGTAGCAATATGTATTGCTACTGAAATCTGTAAAGAATCTGAAATAACTGATGAACTTAGTGATAGTCTCTGATCCAGCAGGTGCTAAAATACCTACTTTTTGATTTGCTCTCTTAATGTCAAAATGCAAGGAAAAATGGAATCTTTAGTAAGACGAGAAAGTACATTTCCTGTTGTATTTTGAATGGGAAATGATAACAAATATGTATTGATTTAGGTTCTTTTAAATTGCCTTTACCTGATATCAAAACAATGATAATGAACTAATTTATTTTTATGGAAGTTCTTAAAAAGTTATTAACTAAAGCCTTTTTTTAAAATGTGTATTTCTTCTACTTATATTATCAGGGAGAATCAGCACTTGATTTGGCAAAGCAGAGAAAAAACGTGTGGATGATCAACCATTTGCAAGAGGCAAGGCAAGCCAGAGGATATGACAATCCCTCATTCCTTAGAAAGCTAAAAGCTGATAAGGTAAACTAATGACTAAAGATTTTTCAGTCTGTAATCCTTTAAGTAAGATTTATGGCCACTTACCTAACATGAATAGTTGCAGTGTTTAATTTTGACATTTCCCAATGTAATTTTTGAAATATTATTTCAACTAGAATAAAAGTGAGCATAAGTAGCAAAGTTTCTCAGAGCTCTGCTTACTTGGTTTATGGTCTATTTGGAGTGTGTGGTAATTAAGAAGGATAGGTAAATTGACATTGTTTCCCAGTAGGCTCCTGAAATAAATTTTAGTTTATTGACTCAACTGGCCTTTCTTAAATAGATTGTCCCTGTGTATGTTTGTTAGCATGGCAACAAATTGAGAAATGTCTCCTCCATCCCAGTACATACCTGTTTTCAACTAACAGCTATATTTAATTAAATTCTAATTACAGTTTTCCATTCTTTTGTGATTTGTTGGAACTTTTTTTTTTTAAGAGAGAAAACTTATATTTTTGGCTACTCCATGGAAAGTCTGTTTTAGATTTTCCACATATCTTCAGCTTTAAACTGTGTGGCTGTTAGCTCAATTACCTAAATATAATAGTATGATGTCAGAACTTAAAACATTTCCCAAAAGGTAGGGCCTAGATTCCTTTTCTGTGAAAAAAAGGATAAATGAGTTGACTGGCAATTTTTTTCCCCAGTGGTGGCGATTGAACCCAGGGCCTGTGTATGCTGGGCAGATCATCTACCACTGACCTATATATCCCCAGCCTGCAATTTTCTAATATACTTAAGTAACTGAGAGTGTATTTTCTAACTTATCAATAATCACAACATGGCTGGCATCAAGTTTTGAGTACTATCTCATGTCTTACTCAAGCTGTTCTACTGGCAATACTAATTATTTAAAGTTAACATTGATCTATCTGTTGTCAAGGTAGGAAGACAAGTTTTGGGGAGTTTTTTCTTTTTTTCTTGGGACTGGGATTTGAACTTGGCCTTCGTGCTTGCAAAGCAGGCTGTCTACCAATTGAGCCACATCTCTAGTCCATTTTGCTCTAGTTATTTTGGAATGGGATCTCTCAAACTATTTGCCTGGTCTGGCCTCGAACCACAGTCCTCCTGATCCCAGCCTCCCAAGTAGCTAGGATTATAGATGTGAGCCGACTGTGCCCAGCAGAAGATAAGTTTTGAATAAAGGGAGACACACTTGAGAGCAGTGCCTCATGTTCCTCAGAGGAGTTCATACTCCCTTTATGAGCTAAAAGTCTCCTGTCCATTATATAGATATCAGAGTAATTAGAGGTATAGTTTACAAACTTGCCTGTTTTCAACCCCATAGCTGAGAATAATGAGTAGTTTTTGCATGCCATGTTAATGCTTTCAGTTAATTATTAGATATAATATAAAAATTTATTTTTATTTTGTCCTGTCCTTTAGCAGTTTGCTAAACAGAGTGAAAAATGGTTAATGTCTCATTATAAGTAAACTAGAAATAAAAATATTTTGTTACTCTGAAAAACCCAGAGTAAATATTCTACACTTTTATTTTTATGTATCTTGTCAGATAAAAATTACCTTTACGTTCTAGATGGATTAATAAGTAAAATTACTTATCATAGCACAGTCCATAAAGGACAAAGTATGGTAAACTGACCTTAATGGAAAGTTTAAACTTTTGCTCTGTTAAAGACCCTATTAAGGAGGATGAAAAGACAAGCTATAAGCCAGGTAGGTGGCATACCCCTGTAATTCTGGCACTCAGGAGGTAGAGGCATGTGAATTTGAGGCCACCCTGGGAAACATAGTGAATTCAAAGCCAGCCTGAGCTACTGAGCAAGGCCTTATCTTAAAAAAAAAAAAAGAGCTGGAGTGCGGCTCACTGGTATGACACTTGCCCAGCAAGTGCAAGGCCTGGGTTTGATCCCCAGTACTACAAAAACAAACAAACAAAAAAGTAGCTATAGACTGGGAGATAATATTGGCAAGCCATATATCCAACAAACTACTAGTATCCAGTATGTATAAAGAACTCTCAAAGCTCAACAGTGAAAATTAAAAATCCAGTTAAAAAATGGGCTAAAGAGCTGAAGACATACTTCACTAAGGAAGGTATACAGATGGCAGATAAACACATGGAGAGCTGTATAACATTATTAACAAGGAGAGGAATACTGATTAAAATCATAGTGGTTCAGCTATCAGAATGACTAAAATAAAAGTTATGTCAGCAAGAAATGCTGGTGAAGATGCAGAGGTTGAATTATTCATACTTTGTCAGTGAAAAGGTAAAATAATACAGCACCCTGAGAGCAGTGTTTTTAAAAAATGCAACTTCCATATAACCCAGAAATATGAAAACATGTTTACACAAAAATCTGTGCAGTTATGTTTATGGCATAGCCCCAAACTGTAAACAACCTGATGTTTTTCAGTGGGTGAATGGTTAAACAGACTGGTATACTCATACACCAAATACTCTTCAGCGGTAAAGAGGATGAACCAATGATACACAGCAGTAGAGATGATTATCGGATAGTTATCCAGAGAACCCTTTGCATGACAAACCCAGTTCTGTGGGTTACACACAAAATTAATGAAATTAAAGAAGTGGAGAACAGGTAGATGAATGGTTGCCCAGGTAAAAGAGGTATGGAGGTACAAGGCAAGTTGGCTATTTTTAGTGATGGAATAGTCTGTATCTCAAGTATATCAAAGTTAACATTCTAGTTGTGATAACACACTGTTACGCAAGAAGTTATCATTGGGGAACTTAGGTATAGGGTACTTGGGATCCATCATTTTACGGTTAACTGTGTGTTAATCTGTAATTACTTCAAAATCAAAGGTTTGTTTAAAAATAGGTTACTGAACTGTAGAATCTAGATGGTGGGTATGCAGGTATTCATTATAAAATTCTTTCAAATTGCTGTATATTTGGACATTTCCATAATAAAATACAGAAGAAAATAGATTTCTCCTACCTATAGAGCAGCACATCATCAATTCATCTGTATAATACTGCATTATGTACATTAAATAATAGTTTGAAATATTTTTTGAAAGATCAAATCTAACTTGGAAATCCCACACACATTTATCCAAATGAAATAAACTTATGTTCATACAAAAACTTATGAAGATGATTGCGATGACTTTATTTATAATCATCAAAAACTGAAAACAATTCTAATCTGTTAGATGAGGAATAGGTAAACATGGTACATGCATGTATTGGAATTCTATTCAACACCGAAAAAGGATCAAACTTGACATACAGTATAACATGGGTAAATGTGAAATGCACTATTTAAGTAAAAGAAATAGAACTAAAAGCTACACTCATTATGATTCCGTTATATGATGATATTGCTGCAAAGAAAAACTTATGGGGATGGAAATCAATTCAATCAAAATCGGGCTGGAACTGGAGGACTTGGGAGAATTTCCGGGCTTAACAGAACTGTTACGTGTCTTGACTTTGTTGCAGGTTACTTTACTGTATATAATAGTAATTAAAAATTTAGAGAACTAAACACATAAAATGGTGAAATTTTTATAGTGTCTTAATTTTTTTAAATGAAAAAAAATGTGGAAGGTGAACAAGTGTCTCAACTAAAAATAAACCAAGATAATTTTAGGAAATACTTTTTCAGGTGACAGCATGTATACCGTCTCTCTCTTTTTAGTACCCATAGATAGGCTCCTCCAAGTTATCAGTCTTCTCTAATACCTTGATAGAAAGTTCACACATGCTAGAAGAAAACTGGATTTATTACTACGCTGTAACATAAAATTAGGCTGAAATTATTGTTTAATTATTAGTGTAAGTTAAGATTACACATTTAGTTCAGAAAATGAATTAACAATGGCAAAATTGGGAAAACTGTGATCACTTATATGAAAGAAATACTTCACTAGAAGCCAGCAGTATGAAAGGAGTGCTAAAAATGTGTTATGCAGTCTTTGTCTTCAAAAAGATAAATATTCAAAGAAAAAAGTAATATTTGAGCTTCCATACACCACAGCTGAATATCTTGTGTTAGTTTTGTTCTCTGAGGTAACTTAAGAGAGACTTGATAGCTGATAAGCTTGTACAGAGTGCTTATGTGAAAGAGACAAGAATACTTTGTGTTACTGTGAAGATATAATTGTGATAGATGTTACAAGGAGGCATATAGGTTTTATACTTAGAAGTGTAGGCTTTCTAACATCCATCCCAGTACCAAGGGAAATGGAACTAACTACCTCTGAATTTGAGCAGTCAGCTTTGATATGTTCAGAGGCACATATCTCCATTCTGTGTGCTTGGATTCCTGTAGATTGTTTGATTTTGTTCTTTATTTCATTTTAAGATTAAAATGTACATTTGTAATGTCTTTTCCGGCTTAGCATCCTCAGGTTTTCTTACCTGAAATAGTTCTTAGACCACAGTCATTCTGATTATCCTTGTCTCTTAGTTATTAGTGCCTCTGTAAAAATGGGTTGTCATCAAGTATTTTCTATCCAGTCTGTGTGTTAGTATTAGCATGTGGTACTGCTGTCTTCTATATCTGAGTGTATAGAACCCACTCCTAGAACATCTGTTTTCATTTTCATGGTTTTAACAGAGTCCTTTTAAATTGTTTATTTAATGTTTGTCTCCAAGAGACCAACATCTTGAATACGACTTGTGTAAGTAGGCATATTTGAATGAATGAATTTTACCTTGGTTTCATACTTCCATGGTTAGCATTGAGATTACCTGAAACATGCAAAAACTTTCTAATTACTTGTTTCTGTACAGGAATTCCGGCAGAAAGTAATGCTAGGAACTCCTTTCCTAGTTATTTGGCTGGTTGGGTTTATAGCAGACCTAAATATTGATTCTTGGCTCATTAAAGGGCTAATGTATGGTGGCGTTTGGGCTACAGTACAGTTTCTTTCAAAGTAAGTGTGTTGTTTTTAACTATTTTTAACTGTACATGAAAGCATATAATTTGTACTCTGCTATATAAATCTAATGTTTTGTATGCTTAGAACATTGCCTTTATGTAGTATGATTGCTCTTATTGTTTAAAAACTTTTGATAAGGTAACATGTGAAATCTTAGATTTTTTAACATTGTTATTAAAATGATCTTAAAGGTGCTTTGATGACAAAAGTCTAGCCTGTAATTTTTAAGGCCAAAATTCAGTTTTAGAAATATTAAAATATTTGAATAGAAGTTGACCTGAGTTTATTGAACTATAAATGTAATACACGTAATATTTTTTCCAAGGTAATTATAATAATACTTGAGCTCACCTTTCCGTAGGCTTTACATTTTCTTTGATCGTAAGCAATAAGTAAGGAAGAGATTTGATTTTAGTAGCAAGGTAGAGCCCAAGCATAATTATGAAGTAGGCTCAGTTTTTAAAAATTCTTTACTCTCTTTTTTTCTTTAAACATTATGACCATTTTGTTTTCTTATCCATAGTTCCCATTGCCCTAAAAGGTGCCCCATTTCGTAAACCTAGAAAGCTGTCTATGCTCCAGAACTTCCCATTTAATTTCCATTCCTTTAGAGTCCTTTCTTACCTGTATTTTAGAAGAGTTGTGAAAATCATAAAGGAATGGTAATAACTAGTAATATACTAACATGGTAACTCTCAAGAAGGGGCTGAATTCTAGTTAATCTCATTTTGATACTTCTAGGAGCTCTAAAGGAGATTATAGATGAGAAGTCATCAAGACTCCGTACTTAACCTGCATGGATGGTTGATCCTGTTTGTTTAATAACATTTATCAATATTTATTTCTTCCTAAATTTTAAGTATTATAACTCTAAACCTTCAGTTCCACTAAATCTGCCAGTTCATTTTATTTGAAAATATGTGCACAACCTTACCTGAAGTGTGCAAACTAGAAGAAATGAAACAATGAAAACCTTGAGCATTGTTTTGTGTTCATTTGTTGAAATTATAACACATCTTTGAATAATCCACTGGATGATCAAGTTGCTTTATATCCTAAAGTCAATTATTGACTTAAAGGAATTGGAATACACTGAAATTCTGAAGTTGAAAAGTACATGGAATATATATTATTACTATGAAAAGAGTTGAAGTATTTAAGCATCTGCTTAAATATGGATTCTTGTTAAACCAGTGCTTACTACCCAGAATTTGTGTGATTTTAATTTAAATATTTTATAATGAAATACAGAGTTTATATTCTATGAAACTTGTGTTTTACAGGTCCTTTTTTGATCATTCAATGCATAGTGCGTTGCCCCTTGGAATATATTTGGCAACCAAATTCTGGATGTATGTGACATGGTTCTTTTGGTTTTGGAACGATATCCTTTGATTATAAAGAGCATATTTAAAACAAATAGTATTTGTTATTTAAGCAAATGTATAGGTCAGTATTGAGAACATTTAAGGAACCCAAGGTCACATAGCTGGTGTCTGGTAAAGATGAGACTGAATTATGTCCAGCTTTTAACATATGATTTTTCATGTTTTAGTATCAAAACTATTCTAAGGATTTTCTTGGTATCACAATTTATTTTACTGTGGTAGGTAGCAGTTAATCTCAAAAATACTTCATCTCTTTTGCCTCATTAAAAGCATTTGCTAAATATCAGAAAATTGTCCGTGTAATACTGTTTTTAAAAGCAATATAATATAAAATTATAAATTTTTGTGTGCCTGTCAAATAAAACTAACGTCAAGTTTTGATATTTCTACATAGAGAAAATTCATTCAGTAAGATTTATTACAATAAGGGCACGTATTTTATAAATGTCTATTTTTTCAAAATGTTACTTTAGTAGCACATAAGGTGTGTTTTTAATGCATTCACTTTTCAGTGACTTCTGACTGTTCCATTTTTAGTAAATACCCAGTTTCATAGTTTATATAATATTAATTTTATTAAGTGGCCTTGTGTTTTAGTGCATTTGGGGGTGTGGGGGTGGTACTGGGGTTTGAACTCAGGACCTCACGCTTAGCTAGGCAGACTGGCACTCTACCACTTGAGTCACTCCATCAGCTGGCCTTGTGTTTTTAGTTGAAAACAGTTTAGATTAGTTTTTGACACTTGAGCTACAGAATTGTAGCCACACTTACAATTCTTATATTTTTTATTGCATTATGTGATTGTTTTGAGAAAGTACAGTTCTTAGTATTTTTTAAATACTTTATTAAGTGTTGGCATATATTTAAATTCTTCCACTGCACAGTCTTCTTTTTTAACTTTATTAGTTTGGGGGGGGCGATATTTAAACTCAAGCCCTTGTGCTTGGTAGGCAGGTGCTCTACCACTTGAGTCATATCCCTAGCAGTGTGGCAGTTTTTACTAGCTAATTCTGGCCTTGTATTATACTTCAAAAGAAAAAATATTCCTCAAGGATTTATTAAGCATTAGAATGTCTTATTGGAACATTTAATGTAAGTAAAACAGATTTACTTATTTTCATTACCTTATTTACCTTAAACTTAAGAAATTCACTTAAATTTCACTTAAGAGATCTCTGAATTGCCTTTAGTTAATCCAGACATATTTTCTAACATTGTGTTTCCTAAATTGGACATTAAAATTCATATTCAAGGGAAAAAATGCTCAGATTCACGTCTCAGAATAATTGTAAACACGCTGTACTCCTAATCTGTTAAACATAAGTGGAGTAAAGCAGGAAAAGTAGTAAATTACCAAATAATGAAAACTTAATGCTTGAAAATATTATATAACAGAGTTTAAGTGTTCCTTTTCTTTGCCTTATTTGAAGATAGCATAAAATAACTATGCAAGTTTCCAAAGCTGAGGAGTTGAGACTATAAGAGATTTTGAAGGAAAGACAAGAAGAATCAAATCTGTTTAAAATACTCAAATCATATCATTCTGCCTTTGAAATAGATTGGTGTATACTTTATTTTTAAAATTCATTGAAAATTTTGCTTGTTTTTCAAACAAAAATTGTATCAAAATACTGGGTTTTATACCTCATTGTCTGTAAAGGAGGGATAAAAGTACTGTCTCATAGAGTTCTGGAGAAGCTAAGTACCTCAGCACATACCTGACATGTAAATAGTGTTAAGTAAGTGCATGTTATTTATGCATGAATTTTAAAATCTAAGTAGGTTTATATCCAAACATGTCTTAAATGTGCATTTGCAGTTTCTTTTGTTTGAATGTATATGTGTATCATACTCATGGAATGCAGAATGAAATCTCAGATAACTAAGACCTGATTATTCCTCAAAAACCTTATGCTTTTCTTATGTTAGACAAGAATTATATCTCTACGCCCTACATGATTTTGGAGCTACTTCCCCCCTGCCCCCGCCAGTATTAGCTTCTGAGCCCAGGGAGAGAAAATTAAGAAACATCTAGGAATGGGACAGAAGGGAGCACAGAATAAGTTATAATGGAAACACAAAGGAAAGAGCCCTGGGGCTCATTATAGAATGTAGCGATGAATGTGCAGAGAGATCTTACAACAGTTGTCAGAAACTACCTTTCTTAATGACCCCAGCCTCTTTTCTGTTGCTTCTACTACGTTTGTCATGCAACTCGTAACTACCTATGTAATTAAAACTGATTAAGGCTAGTTATGAAAAGTAGAATTAAAAATTTGTTATGTTCTGTATTTACTGCAAACACAGAATTAGAGAATACTGAACCAGTGTTTTCTGCTTTAAAACTTTTACTTAATATGTAATGTTGGTTCACCGGCATTGACCTGAGCACTCTTAACTCATGCTTTAATGAAGCTTATCTAACATGTATTTTGTGAGACATTGCAGCCTCTTTGTACTTGGGAGCACTAGATAGCACCTCAGCATTACACTTGGGTGTCCTTTTAAGCATCAAAATCAACAGAAGGCACTAAAATGTGGCACTGAGTATACCACTGCAAGGACACTTGTTTACAGTGTCGGAGCAGAACAAGAAGGCAGATTGTCATCTTGTTCAGCCTCAGCTGAGAGTGTGCATGGTGGGTGAATCAGATGTTCACTGCCTTGTGATGAGTGGTCCTTGAGTGATTGGAGAACTTGAATGTTGATTTTTGGCATTACAAAAAAATTTTAGAGTAGGTGTGCAGAGCAAATGTATAAACTTTATTTTAGTTTCTCAGAATATAATCTCCAATTTAAGTGTTTTTTATGGCAACTTGAATTTTACATTGATTTAAACTGTTCTTTTATTCACTTTGGTGTATGGGTCTTCCACATGCATTGTCTTTTTAAAAATTTTTATTAGCATATATTAGTTGTATATGGAGTTTCATCGTGACATTTCCATATATGCTTGCAATGGTTCGATTCACCCCCCCCATCATTTTCTATCCCTTTCCCTTCGTAAAACAATTTAAACAGGTTTGATCTTTTTTTATACAGATATATTAAGTACATCAACCATATTCATCCTCCCTTCTATCCTCCATCCCACTACTTCTTCCCCCTTCCCCCACAGTCAAACGTTATCTGTTTTACATTCCTGTCCTTCATTTTTTTGGTGTGTATTCATTGTTCAAAGGTGTTTCTCCATGGTATTTCAAAATATATTTCACTTTAATCAGATTTACTCCATTACTGTCTCTTTCCCTTCCCTCTCCATTTTTAACAACTTTCCTTATACCTCTTTATACACAGATGCAACTTACTTAGATATTATTACTTTCTATCATTTGCTTTGTTCTTCTGTCTTCCCCTAGTCCTCTCAGTCTGTTTGAGAGGCACATTATCTTTGTTTTCAGAACTGTTCTTTGACATAAAACACACACACAGTGAGAGGGGGTTGGGGGGTGGGGGAGAACGGAGGGAGAGATCTTAATGCTAATTAAGGTCTAATTGATGGAAAGATTAAGGCTGAATTGTATGCCGTACTCAGTCACATAGGCAACTAATTATCAAGTTAGGTGTAGAGCCCAATTATTTGATCTGATTGGTTATATCTTCAGGTATCCTTACTTTATACTCTGAACTAATTTTAAGTTCATAAACCTTCCTGAAAAGCAGTTCGCTTTGTGACTGCAATGTACCTTTTTCTTGTTTAATTTTTTTGAAAGCATATTGGCATAGTTGTTATGCCATTTCTTTTCATCTTTCATCTTGCTCAGGATTAACCTAAGCACATTTATTCAGACTTTCATGTATTCTCTGATACATTATAGACTATTGAAGTCCTGTGCTATTACCATTTGGCTAAATTTTTGTCCACTTTTTCTTTGCCAGAGAAAAGAAAGCTCAGTTGTAAATTCTGACTCAGGAACCTGGGTGTACTTTCTTAAGATGTTAAAAGTTCTGCATGAGGTTTCCTTCTATGTGGCCTTTGAGATAGAATGATGTTGGAATTATCTCCCATGACCATCCCAATAACCATTTAAATGAAAACATTAATGACATATGTTTCCGTTTTAGAGGATTGGTTAAGTATAAAAGTTTATGAATTAAAAGAATAAAATATCATTTCTTCTGCCTTTAAAATAGGCATCATTTTTTCCTTACTCAGTGCTAATACACAGTAGTTAACCAAATGATAATGGGTTAAAAAGTGGCATAGCTTTCTGGAAAATAGTCTGGCAGTATAAAAGTATCTAACAAGCCTTAAAAAATGTTCATACTGATAGATGTTGTTCCTGTAATGTTTATTGACCTAGGAAATTCTGCCAAGCGTTTTGGAGATGCAGAATGTTATAGACAATAAGTGCCAGGGTTTTGATATGTGCTCCACCTCTACCTCATTCTGCTGTCTCAGACTCTTAGATTCTGCCTAACTTTTATCATCTTTGAGTGGGGATAGGAGCAGGACTTGTCAGAGTTTTTGAGTGGCTTAAGTAACACATTGTTGGTGATTAGTGTTATTATGTTAATCTTAAATACACTGTGATCCCAATTATAACCAAAAAAGAATAATATCCAAAACAAAAGAAATTAGAATTACTGTTTTTTTTTCTTTATGCTTTTTAGTGTTTTCTAATTTTCTCTAATAATAATAGTCCTTTTTTTTAGTTTTTGGTGGAACTGGGGTTTGAATTCATGGCTTTATGCTTGCAAAGCAGATGCTGTACTGCTTGAACCACACCTCCAACCCATTTTGCTCTGGTTATTTTGGAGATGGGGGTCTCTCAAACTATTTGCCTGAGCTGGCCTCAAGTCCCAATCCTTTGATCTCAACCTACCAAGCAGCTAGGATTACAGGTGTGAGCCACTGATGCCTGGCTTAATCATATTAATATTAAAAACAACACTATAGAGAATTTATTGGTTTTATATTTAATTTCAGTTATATTTCAAAAATTTGCTTGTAAAACTAAGTTCAAATTACCTTTAGAAGCCTAATTTATTGAGATGCTAGCTGGCCCTCTACAAATTTTATCCCAGCTGTAAGAGCCTGACTGATTTCTTTACATGCCTTTTTATTTTTAATTGTTTGCTGGGTGGGGGTGCATTGTGGCATTCCTGGAATAGTTTCACAGGTATCATTTTTGCATTTACATAAGTGTGTGCACAGTATTTGCACCATATTCACTCTCACACACACACACACACCTGCCCCAGGCAGGACCTGTTCCACCCTCTTGTTCTCCGATTTTGTAGAGGAAAAAAGAAAAAAAAATGACATTTTTGTTCTTTGAGATAAAGGTAGGTACACAGAGTGTTTCCTTGTAACATATGTACCAATTGGTACATAATGCCAGTTGGTTCATCTCCTCTGTTTTTCTTCATGCTACCTTAGTTCCTTCCTTATGGTGGTTTCTGCCAGTTAAGAATTCTATATTCATTCTTGTATAGAGAGTATATCAACCCTATTCAAATTCTTAGTTTCCTTCTGTTACCACACCCCTCTCGTATGTGATCTCTCCTTAGCGTGACCTGTTTCTTATAATATTGCTATATTTGTATTAGGTCTGTATTCTGTATGAGGGAACATGCAGTTTTTGGCCTTCTGAGCCTGGCTAACTTCACTTAAGGTGATGTTCTCCATTTCCATCCATTTACCTGCAAATGACAAAATTTCATTCTTTGTGGCTGACTAAAATTCCATTGTGTATAAATACATTTTCTTAATCCATTCATCAGTAGTGGGCATCTTGGCTGTTTCCATAGCTTAACTATTATGAACAGTGCTGCAATAAACATGGGTGTGCAGGTGCCTTTGTTGTAACCTGACTCATGGTCTTTTGGGTATATCCCTAGGAGTGGTATTGCTGGATCATATGGCAATTCTGTTTTTAGTTTTTTGAGGTGCCTCCATGCTATTTTCCATAGTGGTTGTACTTTCCACCAGAAGTGTATGAGGGTTCCTTTTTCCCCTGCATCCTCCTCAATTTTTGTTGTTTGTGTTCTTAATAGTAGCCATTCCAACAAATGTGAGGTGGAATCTTAATGTGGTTTTGATTTGCGTTTCCTTTATGGCCAGGAATGGTGAGTGTTTTTTTTTTTTTTAATGTGTTTTTTAGCATTTGGACTTCTTCCTTCAAAAAAGCTCTGATCATTTATTTGCCCCTTTCTTTATTGGGTCATTGATTTTTTGGGGAGTTTAGTTTTTTGAGCTCCCCATATTTTCAGGTTATCAGTCCCTTGTCTGATGTATAGCTAGCAAAGATTTTCTCCCATTCTGGGGGCAGCCTCTTCAATTTACAGACCATTTCTTTTGTTGTATAGAGCTTTTTAATTTCACATAGTCCCATTTGTCAGTCCTTTCTCTTAGTTTGCTAGCATCTTTTTGAAAGCATTATGATCAATAAACATACTGCCCCAGGATGCCAGTATTCAGTTTACACAGACATTTACCCAGCTCTGTACTCAATAGGTTTTTATTAGTTAGCACAGCTGAAAGTTTGACTTTTTACTTACTTTCTGCTGGTACCAGTATATGTTGTGAGATAAGGATGATAAAAAAATCGAAGCAAATAGGGGACTGTAGAAAAAAGAAAAATCATTTGTGAATATAGCAGTTAATAATAACTAATCTTTTTCTTGTTCCTGTTGTATTTTAAGTGTTTGTTCAGTATTTTGCTTTTTGCCAAACAAATGTAGGATGATTTCATTCAAGAAGTTCTTTTTCTGCTATTGCCTCATGGGAAACATAAACAGTGTATATATGTAATGCTGAAAAAAATTCTAGTGACACAATACACCTACCCACATATCTTGAAAATGGTATTTGAATATACCAGATGTTCTGTGTTTAAGAAATGTGTAGCTTAGAAACATTGCTTTATTTTTTTTAGTGTTACTTAAAATGGTTCTTAATTCTTCATTTATATTTATAAATGCCTCTTACATTTCTTGTGTTTTCATTAGGTAGAAAAATGTGGACAAAAACTATTTCTGTTTTAAGCATGTTTATTAATATATTTTCTAAAATTAAGATCGACTTGAGTGTGTTCAAAAAGGCAAAGAAGAAATTTTTTTCTTTTGGCTTTCCCGTAGTTAAAGGCAATCTTTTAAACATGTATGTATGATGCCTGTCATATTTGATAGATAATGTAAAGATTATAATGCATGTAGACAATGTATATGTTTAATAGCTTTTGTGGGATTGAGGTTTGAACTCAGGGCTTCATTCTCACTAAGCAGGTGCTCTGCCACTTGAGCCACAAATCCAGTTATTTTCCTCTGGTTATTTTGGAGCTAGGGTCTCGCAAACTAGTTGCCCAGTCTGGCCTCGAACCATAGTCCTCCCAATATCACCCTCCCAGGTAGCCAGGATTACGGGCATGAGCCACCAGCTCCCAGCTTAGGCTTAATACCTTTGAACATGAGAAATCCCTTCATTTTTGTCAGAAGAAATGGTGACCACTTAATAATCTACTCACAGAATTTTTAATTTATTCACTGATTTTTTTAAGTATCAGGTAAGGCTTCACATATGGTTTAAAGCTTGTTAAGTCATGTTTTTACTTTTTATACTTATGAATGTTATGGGAAAATAACTATTTTGCTTTTAAAAAGTTAATAGGTGTTCTCTCTTGTAAAATCTTATAGATTACAACTTTATGTGTAATAACTCATTTATCATTGCTTCTTTAGATTCCTTAACTTCAGGCACATCTCAACTTTTTATTTATTCATCTTCCATTCCTCGCTAATAGTGTTGCACTTTTTTATAATTTTGGAAAATCTTGGAAATCAGATCCAGGGATTATTAAAGCCACAGAAGAGCAAAAGAAAAAGGTAGCAAAATACAATTTATGTGTTTAATCGCCAACTTAACAGGATTTGTAGCAGATATTTAGTGTACAAAGGAAGAGACTGTCTTTTAGAACAAAGAAGTTTCAACCAAAACTGAAATTATGTATATTTTATTTGAGGCTCATCCGTGGTGTCTTTGTGATGCCTGTCCTTACATTTCCAAGGCTTTTTATAATTTTATGCTTCTTTCCCTTATAAGGCTATCATGGTTGCTGTTAGAGGTAGATGTAGGTTTTCTGTTTTGTTTAGTTTGGGTTTTGTTTTTTGTGGTTCTAGGGATGAAACCTGGGGCCTTGAGCATACAAAGCAAGTGCTCTATCACTGTACCACAGTTGCAGCCTGCAAATGTAGTATCTTAAAAATCTCTGTAAACTCTAAGCAAATAATATTCATTCAACAAGCATTTGTGGAATGACTCTATAAACTAGAAGGCCACTAAACTGATTGATGGTGCAGATATACCATTCCAGTAGCTAAAATATCTGTGTGTCTGATTCAGGGCATCTCTTTCCTATAACCCAGGTACCTGAAATTAAACTTATAAAATACATTGTGTAAGTAGAGAATTGGACTAGAGGCATTTTAGATTATAAGAGCTGTTTTATGCAGTCGCTTAAAAACAAAACAAATCTTGTTGAATTATTTATTTCCATAATAAAGTGATAGTGGCAAATTCTTATACTCTATTCTTCCTTTTCTCTGGGCTGCATAGAAATTGCTACCCTGATGGTGCTCATGCTGTAGTGAAATTAAATGCAAGTAAACAAGCTAAAGATCTCATTTCTATTTTGAGCTGGAAACAGGAAATCAAATATGAACATCATGTTTATTGATTCATTGTGGCAAAAGAGTTGGTTAACATTCAGTTTGAATAAATTTTTTTTTTTAATTCACAGACAATAGTTGAACTTGCAGAGACAGGAAGTCTGGACCTCAGTATATTCTGCAGTACCTGTTTGGTAGTATTTCCTTCTTTTTTCTTCTCTTCCCCCAGCCCCATTTCTCCCAACAGTGGCATGGTATAGAGGGTGTGGAGAACAAGGAGAATATCTTTTGCTAAACACATTTTTACTACCTCCTCCCCAGAAAAGTATGTTAGTCCATAGTACAAAAGGAAAGATGGTCAAAGGATGTCTGTCTCCTTCCTAGTGTGCTTATTCCTTGATAGTAGACCTTAACTACACTTCTGATTCAGTAGTGTGGTTCATTCTTAGTCATTCTCTTCCTTTTTAATCCCTTAAAATGTAACTTAGATTAAAAGCTTAGTAATAAAATACACAAAATCAAACGTTCACTGTGATTTCCTAATAATTTTCTTTGCCATATTTTAAGGAAATTTATTCCTGAATTTAAAAATCACACTGAAAAAATTTATTAGATAATGTGACCTTCCAACAAGTTCAGTTTCAGTTTTATTTGTTTGGAAGTGTGTGCAACTGTGAACACCATTTAATCATTGGTTTTAAAAGTGATCATTTTTAGTCACTTCATAGGTAATCAAAGGTACATATAAATAGAGTATTATTTATGAAGTCAGTAATATTATTTTATTGTACATATCATTTTTAATATTTTTGTTTTACTTATTTTTATAAGTATTTGTGAAAAAGTTATAGACTGCTACATGTTAATTAAAATCATGCGTTAAGCTAAATGTTCATTTGTACTTCTAAGTTACACACTGCAAGTAAACTAGAGTCTTAATATTTGGTTAATAATAAAATAGTTTACTTATGTTAGGATTGTGGGATAAGCTTTTGAATATCCCTAATCTTTAACATTATGTTGTTTTACTTATGGTTCTTTGATCAGTTATGATTCTGAATGTTCAGAATATATATGCTGCTTTACTTTTGACAGCAGTTTTAGGGTACTGACTTGATTTTTCTGTATATTCAGGCATTCTTGAAAAACGTTTTGTTTCTGGGTATTACAGTGGGTAATTTATAAGAGTGATATTCTTTCCATAATGTTTAGATCCACTGCTGTTTTGTGGAATACTCCATTTAAAAAGTCAATTAATGAAGTGCGAATATATGTGCCATGTGACACATCATATGTCAATAAACAGTTTCATTGTTAAATAGACTTTGTGTCATCATAGCATAAACTTTTTGTTATGTTGTAAGCCATGTCATGTACTTTAGGATGGATAATACCTTGTAAATTAGCATATTCTCTATTGTAAAATGATTCAGATCTTACAGGCAGTTGTCACTATTATGGGTATGTTTCACTTTCACAGACAAGTACTTCAAAAGACACATTTTGATTAGTTTTCTAAAAAACTAATTACTTCAGTAGTGAGCCAAGGTTACTGTTAAGTTCAAGACCACATCACCCCTCACTGATTAGTCTGTTGCTCAGTTTTTTTGGCTGGTGGTGCCCAAATGAAAATATAGCTGAGAGTTGGAAGTGAGGGTGGTAGTTGTTTTACATATCTTGCTGCTTTCTCTTAAATAGATTTAATCTCACATCTGTAATGAAGAACAGCTTATCCTTTTCTTTGATCCATAGACAAATTTTGTAGATATAAGAACTACACAATGCACATATTTTTTCTGTGTGCCTCAAAATAGTTCATAACCTTATCCCTGGTAATGGGGAAATGCAGTGCTTTTATTGAAACACCAATCAGCAGATGATATTATAAAATTGACTTCTGTCATAGGTTAATTAGCGCTAGCTCTTACCATACATTCAGAATTTGAACTTCAGCCCTTTAAGGAAAAGAGTAAGTTTTTGTATTCCCTTGGCTGATTTAGCATAATGTCAGGTAAAAAGCCTTCCAAGAGTCTTAAAACAGACATCATAAACATCAGTTTTTTTATTGCCTGTCAAAAGCTCAATAAGGGATTTTATGGTTTTTGCAAAAAATAGTGACTACTTAAATTCTGAGCATTTTCTGCTTTTTTAGATATAGTTATAAATTCCAGCAGGGGATATGCTGAATCTTGATCTGAGATCTCAGGAAGCACTTAAAGAGAAATCAATATACCCTTACTAGATTTGTTAATTTGGAGAAGGCACTTTCATTAATGATTTTGAATTTTAAAAACTGCTTTTTACTCCTAACCTGATCTTCCTTCTACTAAGGAGCAATTTTATTTTCAACCAGTATCATGGCCATTAATCCAATGAGTATTACTCAGAAATTTGAGGGATATAGGTTAAATATGCTTTCATTCATAACATCAAATTCTTAGTTATTTTTTTAAATTAATGGTTTTCTTGTCTTCTTAAGACTGTATTCTGAGTAATCTTATCTTTTAAAATCTTTGTTGTTGCAACTGATTTTAAACAAATCAGTAATTTTTGTTTGGTCTTACTGATTTGGAAACCTTGGTATAATCTTGTTCAAAAAAGCTTTATTGTTTCATAATTGTATTTTGAGAAAATAAATGTTCAATTTCTTTTTATGTACAATGTCTTTCATAACCTTTTAACATGTCTATTAACAGATTCGGAAACCAGTGAGGTCCAAACACTGTGGTGTGTGCAACCGCTGTATAGCGAAATTTGATCATCATTGTCCATGGGTTGGTAACTGTGTAGGTAAGTTATATTAGCGATTTTTAAGTATATTGTTTGTGTAGTAAATTACTTTCAGTAACTAAAGAAGTACACTTGTGCCCCCTAATTATCATTCAAAATAGCAACTCAATTGAGAAGGAAAAAAATTAGGATAATCAGTGTCTGGAAGACTGATATTTTGCTGTTTGTTCTCTCAGGTGCCTACTCTGTCCTACTTTCTCCAATGGGAAAAAATGAAATTTGTCTGATAAAGAGGCACATAATACTGTTTTTAAAATTAAACTTGAGAAAGTAAGGCAGTAATATCTGAAATGATGTTATGTACAAAGAGAGGAATGACAGGAACTCTCCATACCTCAGTGTTCAAGAATGGTGTAATCTGAACTGAGCTAAGTGACCGGAGAGATAGTTCTGGGGATATAGGGATATGGTAGAAGGGAAGCAATATATAGACCGTGTTACTGCTGGAGAGAAGCCTTTGAAAAGTTGGATTATAAGGTTACAAAGTAAGATAAAATAGGACATTTTGAATCTCACAAAGACTAAGAGTGAAGGTCATTACTATGTTTTATTTGGTTCTTTGGGACTATTGCCTTTGGAATGAACATCATTGCAGTCATCACATCTTTGTGTGTAATTTATAAACATTCTTATTTTAAGACTTTTATTAAAACATTTATTTTCTCGAAAACCATTTTACAAGATAATTAACATATGTGATTATTGTCCAAGTTGTACCACACCTTTCATAGCATACCCCTCAAAGGTGTATTACCCATTGTTTTTTCTTAGCTGAAAAAAATTGCTCTGTGTTGTTCTTCAGGTGCAGGCAACCATAGATACTTTATGGGCTACCTATTCTTCTTGCTTTTTATGATCTGCTGGATGATTTATGGTTGTATTTCTTGTGAGTACAATTAGTTTTTTGCCTTCTTAAAACATAGATGTTTGGATATTCATATTATACTTACATATTAACAAATTGATGTAATGACAAAAGTCTTTTAACAAAAAAAATGGCTTGGGGCACCTAATGAAGCATAAAGGAAAAATATAAGATATAGATCTATCGAGTATGTTCAAGATATAGTATAAGCAAACTAATAAGTTAATCACTTTTTAATGTGTATGTCCTTTGTTGGTTTAGTAGGCTTTGAAAAGCTTCTGGGTAAAATACACCAACATTTCACATCACGTGCTTGCTTTACTCTAGTAGTCTATAGACTCAGAGGTTGTGTTCCTCTCTGTTATCAAACAGTTGGGAAAATATACTTAAAATTAAGTTTGTACAGAACTTGAAATATTTGAAAAGTAAGTTATAATTAATGGGCATATTAGGTATCAGAAACCTTTTTAAGATAAGTTATCCCTTGTTTGATCATACGGATTTAGAACCTTAGAGGAAATAATGGGCATTTGTTGCATTGAGAACCCAATGTGGAAAGAGTTTAAATGAAAATGTAAGTTACTGTGCTTCAGGGTGTGGTAAGGTTCAGTATAAAGATATATTTACTCCTGGTTTTAAAATAAGTCTTAGAAGGATTGTTTCTTAGTCCTCTTGCCCCAGAGAGATTAAAAATAACGAATGCTAATTGCCCTAATAAACAAAAGTAGGCTACTTTCTCAAATAAAGGTTGAGAGATTTAGTCAAAGAGTTTGACCTGATTTTTGGCCCATCATATCTGAGAGAGAACACTTTCTTGCCAGTAAGAGAATTCTTTGTGGAAGCAACTCTCAGGGAGCAGATTGTTAGAAAACTTCCACCTTACTGAAGTGATTCTGCTATGTTTGTGTGCCCCCACTCTGAATAATCTGTGTCATCTTACCAGTTTAAAGAAAATGTTCTTTTAAGTATTGTGTATATGCAATACCAAATAAATTGTTTGTTCTTTTAAGATTGGCTGCTGCTTTTCCATTTCTTTCTTTGGTGTATTTTTTCACTAATATATAACAAGGTTAAAAGTATAAAAACATTTGCTACTGTGCCATCAATTAAATCTAGACTGATAGATCATGCTTCCTAAGTTGTGTTAGAACAAATGCTTACCTGAGGTGCTTGGATGATTACTGAATAAATGTGACTTACTCTTCTGGTTTTAGACTGGGGACTTCACTGTGAGACCACCTACACTAGGGATGGATTTTGGACATATATTACTCAGATTGCCACATGTTCACCTTGGATGTTTTGGATGTTTCTGAACAGTGTTTTTCATTTCATGTGGGTGGCTGTGTTACTTATGTGTCAGATGTACCAGGTATGTGCAAGTGCATTATTTGTTCTTCAGTATGCTAACTGCAAACTCTTTAAAAATTCTCTTTGCTTAAAAGACAATAATGTATTTCTTTAAGGATTAATTTTATTTTTTATTTACTTTTCCTTTCTAGCTCCCTTTTTTCTACCTTTCTCTTCTCATATTAAGAACTTCTGGCTTTCAGTTCTGCTTTTAGCAGATACTTTATTTCTATTATTTCTCACAAACACGTGAGCTTAGATTGATGATGCCATTAGTTTTGTGTTCATTTTAATGGTACTTTTTATTATACATAATTATATTTATTCAGAAGTCTTTTTAAAACTAAGGATTTTGTATTCATTTGGGTGTTTGCAACGTGGTCTCACTGTGTAGACTAGGCTGCCCCAAATTGTTGATCCTCATGCTATCTCCCACGTGCTAGGATTAGAGATAGGGACCATCACATCCTGCTAAATTAATGATTTTATAAAGCTCATTCTAAAACAGGTTGTTGGAGAAGTTATCTGTGTACATAGTGTCCTTATTTGTGTAATGCCAAGTAACCTGGGTTCTTGTGTATTTAATATTTTTTGTATTTAATTGGCTACTTTTCATAGTTACAATGATACTACGTAAACTAGCTTGATAATCCTGAGGGAAAACTAAAAGCAGATTTCATCATTTTTCTGTCCTTGCTACTCCTCTTGAGACCTTTTGGTTTTTACACTAAATATTCAGAAGGAATAATGGGTTGCTTTCTCTTTCCTCTTAGATATCATGTTTAGGTATTACTACAAATGAAAGAATGAATGCCAGAAGATACAAGCACTTTAAAGTCACAACAACATCTATTGAAAGTCCATTCAAGTATGTAAATACTTATGAATTTAATATTTCCCTTTGTCAAAAATTTCCTTAGTAAGCAAACTCAGTACTTATCTAGTGAAGACGTCAGAGAGAAGTGTTCTCTTTAGGTATTGCAGTAGGATTTGAAATAGGGAATATTTCCTTTACTTAACTGAAGATTTCTGCAGAAGTAGTATTGATTAGTTCATCATAACAGAATTTATCACATTAACTGCATTTTATTTGTGATATATCTTAATATATATTTTTAAAAATTGCATTTAGTCTGATGCTTAAAATAGTGTCTTAATTACATGAAATATTTAAAACTGCAATTTACATAAACTGCTCCCTCCCCCAAGCTTTTGTAGTATTAATAATTATTGCCAACTTCTGGAAAGCAAACAGACCATTACATGAAAGCAGAATTCTCCTATAGGTACAATAATTATATAAGGTGTAAAACTGCTTGTCGGACTGGGAGCATGACTCAAGTGGTAGCATGCCTGCCTTGCAAGTGCAAGGCCCCGAGTACCACCAAAAACCCCAAACAGAACAAAAAAAAGAGACTGCTTTTACAAAAGTGTTACTAAAGTCTTAAAATTCTCTGAGCTGAATTCTTTTCTCTAATTTGTTACTTTATGTCCACTTCCAAGTTGATGTGTACAATTATTTTGTCTTTTACTCCCTTTCTTAATTTTGGAGATGGTTTATCTCCTTGCCAAAAAATCAATAATCAAGGAAGATTTTTATAAAAAATTGAATAAGGCATTGAAATTAAAAATAATGTAAATTTGGGTAACTTTCAAATGTAATTGTGTAACCTTTTAAATTAGCAAAAGAATAAAATCAGTGCTGGCAGAGATAAGGAGAAACATGAATGCATATATATGTATATATATATTATGTATAATTTTACATGTATCTTATATATAATGCATATATTATATATATATATATAATCATAGTGATAAGTTGGTATTTTCTTGCAAGTAGCCTGAGTTTTCAAGCTTAGAAAAACACATGTTAACACCAAAGTTATATTGAACTCATGTTAAATCATTTGTACTAATTGATTTTTTTTTTTCTTTTTGGGGGCTGTTTTTAGCCATGGATGTATAAGGAATATTATAGACTTCTTCGAATTTCGATGCTGTGGCCTCTTTCGTCCTGTTATTGTGGACTGGACCAGGCAGTATACAATAGAATATGACCAAATATCAGGATCTGGGTACCAGCTTGTGTAGCAGCATCTTTATCCTATGAAGCATATTGCTTAGTGGTGCCTGAAAATTGTGTCTGTCCGCGTCTCTCACACTCGAACCCACATCCTTGGAACAACAGCATGCTATGTGTAGAGCTAACAGTGAATTTTACAGTCTTTTTTTTTTTTTCCAACACTTTTATTAACAAAAGTAAACATGGACAGAACACACTGCCACTTCTGGGAAGAATAAAGATCATAAAAATTTGAATGGTTCTTAATGTGGGAATTCACAACATAGTCAACTTTGTGGTTTTGTTCTCATAACATTTTTCATGAAAAGAGTGAACTTACTCTGTTGATAAATATGGCATACTGATCAGAAATGTTCAGTTCTAACCAAAAACTAAATTTATGTTATATGGCTAAATTTTATGAAGCAATACTAAAAGTATTGCATCTAATTCCAGGAAAATTGGAAGTGACTAGTATTATGTACATTTTTAAATGTACATGTAAATACTGTGACGAAAATCATGTGGTTTTATTAGGGATCTACTGTAATGTGTCTTTAAAGGCACAAGAAAATAATGTTCACAAAAATGTGCTAAATCTTGTTTCCATCAGCTGTTGCAATGCTGGTATATTTCTAGTTCAGTGAAATAATTTGTAGCAACCTTGCTCTAAGGTTTTATGGTCTGATAATAAAGCACTTGCATGAGTATACTAAGTCATATTATTTTGTTGAAATTTAAAAGCCCTAAGTGCATGATATACTTCATAGAATGTATACTAGCAGAAAATATCCAGTGAAGCATAAATTAGAATTTAATTTCAAGTAGAAACAGTCCAATTTTTAAAAGAGTTGAGGTGGGAATTTCAACAAAAGGCCGAACAAGTAAGATACTGCAAAATTCTTACCAATAGAGATAAATGGATATACTTTTTAAATTCTGAGCTGAAAATAAATTGTAGGCAAAATAATGGAGTTTAAGTTAAAGATGGAGCATGTCTCTGTAAATAGCACATGTGAATAAAAGAAAAGCTAGTGGTATATTCCATTTTTTTTAATGACCTATCAGAAAAGTTTAATCCCCAAGATTATTTAAATTTTCAATATTGAATGTTTTGAAGTTTGTTAGTGCTGTCTGAGACAATTTCAGAAAGATTTTCTTACTATTAAATGTAATGCACTGATCAATTTTTGTTGCAGCATTTCCATACCCTCGTGGTGAACTACTAGTCACTGCTTCCATGAATATTGTTTACAGAGTGAGACTTGGTTTAGTCCTTTTAAATGCTGTAGCAAACTGTGGTTCGAGCAACCTTGGGAAATCTGTGAGAGGGAATGGTAGGGTGGGAGGGAGGGTAGGGGGAGGAAGGTCAGACTGATGACAGATCCTAGACCAGTATAAAGAATGTGTATCTGTATATAAATAATTTATCAAATAGTTTTCTCTTTGTGTCTATGTGTATTAGTGTTTTTAAAGCTGCTCATTTCATTTTGTCCAACCAAAAAGAAAAGGGAGATATTAATGAGCTTCTAGTGATGTTCAATATTGCTGTTAATAGGCATTATACCCTGCAAGTTCACTGCATGTCTGATGCTTGGTAAAATTAGTATTCCCTGTAAAATGCAAAATACAGATATTAAAGCAATCTAGAGGTATACCGCCCCTTGCCTTAGTAAGAGGAGCAGTGAAAATGTATATAGTTGATGTTCAGTATTTCCAAGCACTACCATTTTTTATAGTAATTTCTTTGACCATAACTCACACATCAAGATTACCCTAGTGTACCTGAGTGTTTTAATATTAGAAAACTGGCATATGTACTTTATTTTTGAAAAGGGAAGAGATGGGTGTGGGGGTGGCAATAAATAGCAGTGTGCCATTTTGTCATAGAATGTAAAAAATTGGTTAACTGTACAAATGTCTCCGCTAGTTTTGACTAATTGGGGGAAATTTTAAATAATTTTTAAATTCAAAGTTATTTATAAAATGCTAGGATTTGTTTTAATTTTTTGTATTTTGAGTCACTTTACATGAAGACTCAGTTGTAATTTTTATCAGATACATTTTTATCAACAGATAGACTATGGTTGTTTTCTCAGTTTGAATGTTGTTACCATGTTCTTTGTGGTACAATATTCTTCTCAGTGCAAGAGAGATGCCTCTCAGACAAAAAGCCTCTGGTTGTATAATTACATGGAAAATGTTTGCAAGGAAAATGCTTTAGTACTAACCATTTCATAGTACCAGTGAAATCTACAACTTAGAATTGTCAGATGTTCAGGAACCCAACTATGCAGCAGTGTGCTGTCTGTTTCATTATTTTGTAGATCCTGTGCGTGGAACCCAGTTTAACCCAGCTCTAAAGTTGTATATGAAGGTGAACCTTTTGGGAATAGCTCATATCAGCTTAATTGGATACTTTTAGGAAATAAGAACTTAATTCTCAGCTCTGAATACAAATTATTTCTCTGAAGTTCTTTCCATTATTTTTTGTTGTTTGTAGTTTATTTGAAATATTAATAGTTATTAAACAGCATCATACTTAAGCTATGGGTATTTTTATTTTATATTTTCCTTATTTATAACTGTGCCAAGTGTTATTTTGCTACTTACTGTGTTACTGTGGAAAGAAAAACCTGTAAAGTGTTTAATAAATTAGTTCTCCTTACATAAATTAAATGTCAGAATTTTGTAAAAATATTAATCAGAATAAATATTGACTCTTACGTGTGTGCTTGTTTATAATTTCACTCAATTCACTTAAAGAAACTGATGAAACCATGATAGTGGAACTTATGATACAAGAAGATTATTCTATATATTTATATATGATATATATATTTATATATTAGGAGTCAAATGGCATAAGAGTGTAGGAATTTGCAAAAGTGGTATTAGTATTCTAAAAATTTCCAATTCTGAGTGTATGCATGTGTGTAATTTTTTTTTAATAAAAAGAATAAAGTTTTCTTTATGAATTTTTGGATTTCACGGCATCAGGATCTTCGGAGACTTTAAATCTGAGTTTTAGATGTAAGAATGCCTAAATGCAGTTATTTAAAATATTCCAAAATGAAACCTACCAAACATTGATCTCAGTTAATTGAAAAGTTATACATGACAAAGAAAGATTGAGAATTCTAAAAGCAAAAATTATGAAGGGAACTTTTCTGTTAACATGACTGTTCATGGTTTGAGAAGTCACATATATTCAATAAGAATATTAACTTGGACTGTTACTCAATTCTTCATTACTTTATGCATTGAAAAAGTTCCAATATTTTGTACAACTTATAAAGCAAGTGATCAGTTTTCATGCCAGTCAGGTACTTTTCTTCTCTTACTAGTCCATTTACCTGTTACCAGGCTGAATGTTTTCGGGCAATGCAGTATTCTTTGCTACTTTTGCAGAATTGAAGAAAACAAACAAACAAAAAGCACTTCAGTTTACAGGGCATATTTAAATTGTATCTGATTAAAGTAGAGCTAGAGAGTCATGCTAAGCCTCAGATTCTACAGTTAACCTGTAATGATGTTTAAATACTGATAAAAGGACTTAGTGTTTTTTAACACTGCCCACTCTGGTCAGTGTGTCTTTCTGAGAAAGTCTTTAAAAGGGCCTCTATAGCTCTGATCTGCCTCTAGAGATTCTGTTTTTTAATACTCCCAGGTAATTTGAATGCAGATTGTCTGCACCCACACTTTGGGAAATCTCCCAATAGAAAAGAGTAAGCACCAGGGTATCATGAGGCAGGAAGGAATGAGGTGCTATATTCTGAATGCCAGTTCTGAGGAGCTGAAATGGCAATGCATGTTACCTAGCAACCCTCACTCTTAAGGCCTGCTTGCTAGCTTAAAAAGAGATTCTTTCCAACACTTACAATCCAAACATGAGCCTAGTGAGTTAAATGGGTAACGGGGCTGATTCTCTTAACAAATAAAATGGAGATACGGTCCAAATGATGATAGCAGCTCCTCCAAAAGGTTAATTAAAAGACAATGAACACCCAAATCAAGCTGAATTTTATTTAAAATGTAGAAGAAAGGGTTCCTGAAAATGCTGGTGAATAAAGCAAAAAGATACAGTGCTCTCTTCCTACAAGTTAGCCAGCTTATGTAAGTACAGGGTAATACACAGTACTTCATGCTGGTAGAATTTCACAGTAGTTCAGTGTTATTAGATTATCTGTGTCTAGATTATGAAGAGATTCTCAGTGTGTGATGCTTGGTCCTAGGTTTACACCTTTACTGAGCATGAACAAGGGCTCCTGCTCCTTGACCATAGCCAAATCCCTTGGGCCCAAAGTTCTTTGCATAGCATCCTACAAAAGAAAAGGGAGAGACAGTACAAGTCCATTAAGCTTTGCTAGCACTGCTTAAGACAGATCCCCAAAAATTTAAAAACAAATGGTTGGCTGTGACAGCGAGTTCAAGTTATTTAAGATGTTAAGTGTGCTTTGTTGTAAGTATCCTTATGCCGTGAAGGGAATTCCAAACATTCTGTCTAGTTCCAGTGTTCAGCTCATGGTCTCACTGAGTTAGAAGCCTGACAGTCAAGCCAGGTAAGATATGTATTTATTACCCCAACATATTCCTATGCTTTCCATAAAGCATGAAGTCAAAAGAAGACTATTAATAGTGTCTATTTATTTGTGGAAGAGTTTTAGTTCTGTTTGTGTGGTGATGGTAGGGATCAAACTCAGGGCTTCACGGATGCTGTAAGTGCTCTACCACTAAGCCACACTCTCAGTCCAGTACAGGAGTTTTAAATGGACAGGAATTTAAGACTAGTTATCTGACGTCTGTAAGCATCTCTGGGTCTCATTTTTAAACAGCTAGTGATCTCTCTTTACAGAGTACTTTCTTTATACTGGTAATACTTCACTAAATAATAGTGTGTATAGTCATATGGGTGGATTTTACCTTTACAATAGATTTCACCTTCCTTCTCAGTCAGAGTTGTTGATTCAAGACTCTTCCCACATTTGGCACACCGGAAACAGTTTTTATGCCATGGCTGGAAGAGACAGATGCATTAGAAGGTTTAAGAGGCCCATTTCCTGCAGTATGATTTAGATGTGGCAAGAAAGTGACTTGGGAAGATCAACTTCGGCAATCCATGAATGCTGTGATTTGGCTCAACTAGGAGCCTGAAACTGACCCTCCTTGGTATTTTTATCTGTATGCTGGCCATCCACAAAAGGATTGTCTTCAAACTCCATTCACAGGAGACCCAGGCTGGGAGCTCTACCACAGAAGGGCTATTTCCCTAAGAGCAGTCTATGGCCTTACAACAAACCCAATCTGCTCCTTTAAAAATCAGTTGCCTTTCTGATTGAGAGCAGCTCAAAGGAGTTAAATTGTAAATTTTCCAAGTCCATGAACCTACTTAGCATCTGGTTTCCTGACCCTGATTACACCGAATGACCTACAGACTTTAGGGTTTTTTTTTTTTTTTAAATGTCTTTGTAGTTAATAACCTTCAGGAATACCCCTTATGAAAATAAGTTTCTTTTAAGCCAAGGTGATTTGTTAAATAAGGGCATCACTTCTATAATGAATGATTCTGATGGGAATTCAGTTTAAACAAATTTAATTCAAAACAGAAGATACAGTGAGTTATAAGAGAAAGGGAGCAGAGAGGAGTCACAATCAAAATAGCATTATACCTTTCCAGCTCCAATTATCTTCTCAGCAGCATATACAGAATCCCCACATCTGGAACACTTCTCAGCACCTCCATATTTCTGAGCAAATTTAGAAGTGTTCGGATTTGTAGTGGGCCTGTGAGGCTGAGCACTTGTGGAAGAAAAGAAAACAAAAACCAATGAGGTAAGATTTCCCAAGAGGCCCTTACAAGCCCATCAAGCAGGAATGATGGAACTCTGCTTCTGTGTCAAGGCTAGAAGCCTTTGCAAGCTGGGAAAGGGGGGAAAGAAAAAAAAAAAAACCCTCAGGTGCTGGCCAGAATTCTTTAATGAACTATTCATGGACTTATTGCTACAAAGATAGCCAAGCCCCCAAACCAAAATATCTATGTATAAGCAATTCATTTAATCCCCATGTTGGCCTATTCACTAAGCAATTCTACCCGATTTGTATTAAGACCACTGGAATCACATCCAGCTTTGTACTTAACAAGAGAGTAAAAAATGACTGTTAGACAATTCTGGGATTAAAAAAATTCTGCAAACAGGTCAGCTGACTTAGTAGTCTGTAACTAAGAAAGTTGAGCATGTTTTTCAGATTTAGTTTGCAATATAAAGTGTGACTAAACTCTCTTCATGGAAAAGTATCTTAGAAAATTTGCCTATTGCTATGTGTTGCTTTTCTTTACTTTTTCTTGAGATAACATGGTATTTTATGTCATTTGAAGGTCAAGGGTAAACCATGTTTCAGCAGGACTTTTTTTTTTTTTTTTTCAGTACTGGGTTTGAACCCAGGGTCTACACCTTAAGCTACTCTACTAACCTTTTTTTTTGATGGGTTTTTTTTGAGGTAAGATCTCAGGAACTATTTCCCTGGGTTGGCTTTGAACCACAATCCTCCTGATCTCTGCCTCCTGAGTTGCAAGGATTATGAGTGTGAGCCACCACCCCCCCAGACTAGCAATTGGTTTGGTTTGGTTTCTTTTCCAGTCAGTAAGTAGGTACAGTTAACATGTACAAAACACCCTCTGGGCTTTGAGGCCATTTTAGAACCTTAAAGGACAGCACTGAGTGAACTGCAGTGACTTAGTGTCAGTGTTTCTTACTGAAAAAGCAATGTTTTCCTAACTAGTTTAAGTTATAACATATGTAAAAATCAATCTTAATTTAGAAATACTACCTTTTCATAAAACAGTTCATTCAAGCATTTCACATGCATCTTCAGTATTTCTACTACATCCAGTTTATGTAGTAATTTTTATACTTCCACCCAAGTTATTGAATATATAGCATTCTTTGAATCATTTGTGGCCAGTTTGAAATACTAACTATATGTTTCTCCAGTTGTCTCTAGTGTGATTATATATTATTTTCCAAAAAGAAAAAAAAAACTTTCCACAACCTACTGCTTTTTAAAGTAAAAAGTTCAGCCTGAACTGAAAATACAGGTCTATCTCAATGAAAATGTCCTCCCCACTCAGTGCTGTCACTAAGGAGATCCAACGAACATCACAGCTACATGCCACATGGGTCTTCAGAGTCTTTAAGGAAGGAAAGGAAGTCCTAATACTTAAGGATAAATAGAATGTGGCCCGTTAAGAAGGTCAGGCAAGCCAGGCACCTGTAATCCTAGCTACTCAGGAGGCAGAAATCAGGAGGATAGTGGTTTAAGGCCAGCCGAGGCAAATAGTTCGTGTGACCCTATCTTGAAAATACCTAACACAAAAAGGTCTGGCGGAGAGGCTCAAGGTGAAGGCCCTGAGTTCAAGCCCCAGTACCGCAAAAAAAAAAAAAAAAAAAGAGGGTCAGGTAACCATCACACAGGGCTTGCTAATCACTACAGAAGGTGGAGAAGCAGGAATGAACAGGCGGTACCAATTGTCTTGGTGACGTTGAAATTATGGCCATAATCACTGATTTGGGGTCACAGGTAAACATCGCTTTGGCTGAGGGGAGCGGGTACAGATTCATGTATTAACCTCTGAAAACAAGAATGGGAAAGGAAAGCAAAGCAAGTACCTCAAATTTTAACAAAGAAAGGGAAGCTGAGCTTCTGTGGGTGATGGCATCTGCACACT